GGGTTTAGGGTTCAGGGTTTAGGGTTCAGGGTTTAGGGTTCAGGGTTTAGGGTTTAGGGTTTAGGGTTTGTGGTTTAGGGTTTAGGGTTTAGGGTTTAGGGTTTAGGGTTTAGGGTTTAGGGTTTAGGGTTTAGGGTTTAGGGTTTAGGGCTCCGGGGTGTAGGGCCTTCATGGGTGTAGTTTGGGGCTACTGGGGGGGGAGGGGGTTTAGGGTCCAGCGGTTGCCCGAAAGAACCGCTCCAAGACTCTGTCCTCCATGTGCTGCGACAACGGGCTGTCCGTGGGGCCTCCCTTGAGCCTCGGTGGTCACGCCTCCTCTTGTTTAGGGTTTAGGGTTTAGGGTTTAGGGTTAGGGTTTGGGGTTTAGGGTTTAGGGTTCAGGGCTTCGAGCATTTAGGAACCCTACTCCCTCAACTCTGAACCCTAAACCCTTGCAGGGGTTTGGGCTTAGCGTTGAGGGTTAAGGTTTGGGCGTTAGAGAGCTCTGAGCGAAAACCTAGCGAAACCTATGTGTTGAAAAACAGGAGCCCCAGACACTCAAATCCCTCAACCCTAAAAGGCCCTTAACCCTCGAGTCTCTCAACCCTGAAAACCCCTTAACCCTCAAATACCTCAACCCTAAGTAAAGCCCTAAACCCCAACCCCAAACACTAAAAACCCCTGAAGCTAAAGCCCTGAACCCTAAACCCAAACCCTAAACCCGAAACCCGAAACCCTAAACCCCAAACCCTAAACCCTAAACCCCAAACCCTAAACCCTAAACCCCTAAACCCTAAACCCTCAACCCGAAACCCTCAACCCTAAACCCCTAAACCCTAAACCCTAAACCCTACACCCCAAACCCTGAACCCTGAACCCTGAACCCTGAACCCTGAACCCTAAACCCTAAACCCCAAACCCTAAACCCTAAACCCCAAATGCAGGCCCCGGCAACTTGTTGGCGCAGAGGTCCTTGGGAGGAGGACCCTTGGTCTCCCTCTGAAAGCGTTTCAAGGCCAGCTGTACCTGGTTTAGGGTTTAGGGTTTAGGGTTTAGGGTTTAGGGTTTGGGGTTTGGGGTTTGGGGTTTGCGGTTTAGGGTTTAGGGCTTGGGGTTGAGGGATTAAGAGTTTTAAGGGTTTTAGCGTCTGGAACCAGGAAGATAAAGTTGAGGATCTGGGGTTTGAATACTCTTGTCCCAGAACTAGGGTCTAGGGATTTGGGGCAGCAACAACGAGCCCTGCAATTTCCGGACTCTCTGAGAGGGAGACCGCCTACACCAAGGACACCTCGTTCCAAAATTTAAGTTTCTCCAACACAGGGACCTGTAGAAGAACCCCGGCCCAACGTACCCATTCCACCCCTAAACCCTAAACCCTAAGCCCTAAGCCCTAAACCCTAAACCCTAAACCCTAAACCCTAAACCCTACACCCTAAAGCCTCAAGCCTAAAGCCTAAACCCTTAAGTCCCCACATACCGATGCAGATCCGGCACGGATGACTCGAGGATGTCGAAGAAGGCTGTCGATCGGGTGAGACGCAGGAAAGGCGATTGCCTTGGTACCCCAGTAACCATACTATAATTTAGGGTTTAGGGTTTAGGGTTTAGGGTTTAGGGTTTAGGGTTTAGGGTTTAGGGTTTAGGGTTTAGGGTTTAGGGTTTAGGGTTTAGGGTTTACGGTTTATTTCTACGGGGGCCTGGAACCAAAAAAAAAGGGAAAAGGGTACCACTGGGCTACCCAGTTGCAGAGGCTTACAGGCCAGCTCGCGCAACCTCGGACGGAAAAAAGGTGGTGAAGGGTTTAGTGTTTAGGGTTTAGGGTTTAGGGTTTAGGGTTTAGGGTTGAGGGTTTAGGGTCGAGGGTTGAGGGTTTAGGGTTTAGGGTTTGGGGCGTAGAGTCAAGGAGTTCTGCTCCGCTGCGATGTGAGGTCAGGGTTCTGGGGAGTTGAGGGAGTTGGGGGGGGAGGCTTGAGGGTGTCGGGTATGAGGCCGAGTTTGAATTGAAGTTTTTAGTGTATGAAGCAGGTGCACCCTGAAACCCTGTATCCCTAAACCCTAAACCCCAAACCCCAAACCCTAAACCCTAAACCCTGAATCCTAAACCCTAAACCCTAAACCCTACTAGACCCTAAAGCCCCGGAAGCCCTGACCCGAAGCACTACCCTGAACCCTGTAACAGAAACACACTGGGAGCATCAGAAGATGTGGTGAGAGCACTGGAAAAAGTGTAGGGTTTAGGGTTTAGGGTTTAGGGTTTCGGGTTTGGGGTTTAGGGTTTAGGGTTTGGGGTTTAGGGTTTGGGGTTTGGGGTTTAGGGTTTAGGGTTTAGGGTTTAGGGTTTGGGGTTTGGGGTTTGGGGTTTAGGGTTTAGGGTTTAGGGTTTAGAGTGTTTAGGGTCTAGGGTTCAGGGCTTACGGCTCAAAGCAGCGGGAAAACAGGGCGTTTAAGGGGGCGAGTTTTTTTTTTGCCCTGCAACAGGGCCGTGAGGTAGAAGAGGACGCGGATGTCATTGGCCAGCAAGTCCGCCATAAAGGTCGCATGGCCCTTCTCGTCCTCATGGTTCCCGTTTAGGGCGTCGAGTCTGAAACCCTAAACCCTTCGGGGTGTCGGGTTTAGGGTTTACGGTTTAGGGGTTTAGGGGTTTAGGGGTTTAGGGGTTTAGGGGTTGAGGGGTTGAGGGGTTGAGGGGTTTAGGGGTTTAGGGGTTTAGGGGTTTAGGGGTTTAGGGTTTAGGGCAACACCTGAAGCTTCGGATTCGGCTTCAAGCGCTCTCCGATGATTTCAGAGGCCCACTCGGGGCTCCTCGGCCGCGGCCGAAACCCCTAAAACCCAAGAACCTAAACGCCTCCTCTGTAGAAAACCTGAAGGCGGGAACCCCAAACCCTAAACCCTAAATCCTAAACTGCCCGAAGCCCCAAGCCCCGAGGCCTCAGCCCTAAGCCCTGAGCCCTAAACCCTAAACCCTAAACCCTAAACCCTACACCCTATACCCTAAACCCTAAACCCCACTTCCACCCCATGGTCCTCGCCACTGGTGCCCGGGTTGAGCATGACGTGCACCTTGTTCAAGACCTGTCGCTCTGCACCCACTTCCCTCATTTTTGGGCCTTAGGGTTCTCAGCTGAGGGGCTTTGGGTTTAGGGCTTAGGATTTAGGGTTTAGGGTTTAGGGTTTAGGGTTTAGGGTGTAGGGTTTAGGGTTTAGGGTTTAGGGTTTAGGGTTTAGGGTTAGGGTTAGGGTTCAGGGTTCAGGGTTCAGGGTTTAGGCTTCTCAGCTTAGGGGACCTCGGGGGGTTAAGTCGATGTAATCGCCGGGCCCACATCCCATCTACCCTGAACCCTAAACCCTAAACCCTAAACCCTAGAGCCACCTGCATGAGGCCATCAACGGCCGACTTCGCATCAGCCTCCGTGAAGCCTGCACCATGATCTTGGGTGACAGACGTTTAGCTATTTTAGGCTTAGGACCGAAAAAAGCCAGGGTTTAGGGCTTGGTGCTCAGGGTTTAGGGTTTAGGGTTGAGGGTTGAGGGTTGAGGGTTGAGGGTTTAGGGTTGAGGGGTATGTGTCGAGGATACGGCTGTGCTGCATCACTTGGCACAAGCCGGAAGGGTCATGAAGAGACTGTTGGGTGGCCACTTACCTTCTCTTTCCCTAGTTGTTGGAGGTAATATACTTGGCTGCACTTAGGAGGGTAGGAAAAAATTAAACTTTTAGCTACCTTATTAAGAAACCCAATAAACCCAAAAAGGCCAAAGACCTAAAGTTACAGAAAAGCACCACCAAGTATAGGGGCCTGAATAATTAGAACAGGGTTTTTGGATAATTAGAATAGGGTTTTGGGGGGTTAGAGTTACACAGGGACCATAAGGGAACACTACAAGTAACTATTCCGACCCCTATATTACGTACCCCCAAGCCCTTGAACCTTCAACATTGCACCTAAAAAGTAAACTCTGAACCAATGAACAAAACCCTGCATCCAGAATCAGAATCGGGATCTCTGTGCGGTCTTCGCTGCGCACACGGGGAGTTCCCTCAATTATGTTCCTTCCAGTAGAACTCGGAGCCTCGTATTTACAGGATCCCAAAAGGGACCCTGAGCAACAAAATTCTGAGAACCCTTTTGACTGTTGGCTATAGTCTATTGTCGGCAACTCTCAGAAAAGAGCAATCCAGAACACAAGAGTACCGAGGGCCTTCCTCGTTCTCTTGCTTAAAGAAGTTAGACAGATACCGACAGCTGCTACGATCACACCACCTGCTTCCCTTGCTGCCGCTCTCACTAGGCTACACGAGTACAACACGCTCAACCAACTGCACTTCGATGATGCTCATCCATGCTGCCCCCCCCCCCCCACCACAGGCCTCCATTCTCTTTCTCTGCGGTCTCTTCCGCGTCCTTCATGGGTTCCGCTATACTACGCCCCCCCGGTTCCCCCCTTAAATAACCTTAATGCTTAATTATCCCTAAATAGCCTTAATACTACCCTCTATACTAGCCCCCCTAGGTTCCCCCTTAAACAGCCCTAAATAGCCGTACTTTTGGGGTGAAAATATCTGCCAGAACTTCTGGCTGCATGCCGCAAGAGGTTCGAGGTCGCCGAACCGCAAAGACGGGCAGGATTGAAGGCCCGAGCTTTCCAGAGAGCCCCTAAATCCCAACCCGAAACCCTAAACCCTAAACCCTAAACCCCAAACCCTAAACCCTAAACCCTAAACCCTCGTCCTTGCGATACTTGTGGGCAGGCTTGCCGTGTCTGAAGATCGTGCACAGCAAAACCTTGGTGAGGGTTCAAGGCCGACGTTGATATGTTTGGTCGTGGCGGGGGTGGGGGGGGGGGGGTTGTTGAGGCAATTCCCGAGTTTCGAAACATGAGTTTGCCCACCCCGCTCCTTAGGGCTTAGGGCTTCGGGCTTAAGGTTTAGGGTTTGGGGTTTGGGGTTTAGGGTTTAGGGTTTAGGGTTTAGGGTTTAGGGTTTAGGGTTTAGGGTTTAGGGTTAGGGTTTAGGGTTTACACCCTCACGGCTGCCGGCTTGGCGCGTGGAGGAGCGCCACCAACTTGTTCATGAGCTCCGCTGCCGCGACCTCACCAGGGCAGCGGCGTGCCCAACAGCCCTAAACCCTAAACCCTAAACCCTAAACCCTAAACCCTAAACCCTAAACCCTAAACCCTAAACCCTAAACCCTAAACCCTAAACCCTAAACCCATAAACCCTAAACCCTAAACCCTAAACCCTAAACCCTAAACCCTAAACCCTAAACCCTAAACCCTAAACCCTAAACCCTAAACCCTAAACCCTAAACCCTAACCCTAAACCCTAAACCCTAAACCCTTAGCTCGAAACCCTAAACCCTGAACCCTGAACCCTAAACCCTAAACCCTAAACCCTAAACCCTGAACCCTGAACCCTAAACCCTAAACCCTAAACCCTGAACCCTGAACCCTGAACCCTAAACTCGAGGGCGACCTCCAGCTTCCCATCCTGGCCGCAGGTGCTGTCCGGCTTTGGGCGGCTTCGCGAGGCTGTTCAGTCTAAACCCTAAACCCTAAACCCTAAACCCTAAACCCTCAACCCTAAAACCTAAACCCCAACAAGTCCAGCCGAGGGGGGTGAATGCTAGGGGAGGTCATCCGACTGGTTCGCAGGTTCAGCTTTCCAACCAAAATCTTCGGGGATTTAGGGTTTAGGGTTTCAGGGTTCAGGGTTTAGGGTTTAGGGTTTAGGGTTTAGGGTTGCTGTACTCTCGCGGACCTCCTCTGGGGTCTCGGGGACCTCCTCTAACCCCTAAGCCCGAAACCCTAAACACGAAATGCTAAACCCGAAACCCTGAACCCGGAGCCCGAAACCCTAAACCCTTAATCCTAAACCCCAAACCCTACCCCTAAACCCTAAACCTAAACCCTAAACCCTAGTCCCGAAACCCTAAACCCGAAACCCGAAACCCGAAGACTCCCTGCGCTTTTCAGGACTGCACCAGCTTCATGGTGCCTGATACTTCGAGGGGGTGCGTCCATTGCGGGAAGGGTTCAGGGTTGAGGTGTTGGGGGCTTGAGGGTTTAGGGTTTAGGGTTTAGGGTTTAGGGTTTAGGGTTTAGGGTTTGGGGTTTAGGGTTTAGGGTTTAGGGTTTAGGGTTTAGGGTTTAGGGTCAAAAAAAACATGTATACCGAAGGCGAGAACCCCGGGCGAGAATCCTCTGAAACCTCAAACGCCTACAAACCCTCAGCCCCTGAACCAGCCCTGCACCCCTAACCCCTAAACCTAAGTTCTACCTCTGAACTTGAACATATATAACCACCCCCATGACCCAAACCTACACCCCTAACCTCCTAAACCCTAACAACCCCAAACCCCTAACTTCCTCAACCCAACCCACCCTAAACCCCTTCCCCTAAACCCTCCAAACCCCCACGGAGAAGGCTGGAAACCCCAATCCTGAACCCAGCTGACTGTGTTTAGGGTTTAGGGTTTCTGTTTAGGGTTTAGGGCTTAGGGGTAGAGTTTAGGGTTTAGGTTTAGGGTTTAAGTTTAAGGTTTCAGGTTTAGGGTTTAGGCTTCAGGGTTTAGGGTTAGAGGCTTGAGGGTCAGGGTTTAGGCTTCAAGGTTTCGAGCTAGGGTTTGGGGATTAGGGTTCAAGGGTAAGTCGGGGTAAGGGTTTGGGGTTTACGGCACCTTTCGCTATGGTTGCCTTAAAACCACACCACAAAGCGTAGGCAGTTCTTGCCATGCACTTATAAAGCGGCAGGCTGTACGTTCTTTTTCGGTGGTTAGAGCGCGAAACGCAAAACCCCTGAACCTGAGCCCTGAACCCTAAAGCCTAAACCCTATAAACCCGAAACCCTAAACCCTAAACCCTTAACCCTAAACCCTAAACCCTAAACCCTAAACCCCAGCACAGAGTCTCGCGTAAGCCAGCGGGGCTGACGGACAAGCGTTCGAAGTTCGCCACGGTCTCCTCGAAAGAGTCCCTGACCAGCGAGAGTCTGCCCTATAGTGCTGCTTTGGGGGGGGCGGGGGGGGCACCCCCGAAAACCTGAACCCTTTGAATTAGGGTTTCGGGTTTAGGGTTTAGGGTTTAGGGTTTAGGGTTTCGGGTTTCGGGTTTAGGGTTTAGGGTTTAGGGTTTAGGGTTGTAGTGTTTAGGGTTTAGGGTTTAGGGTTTTGCATTTAGGGTGTCTAGAGCCCCTAGGAATCTTAAGCAGCTTTGTACGTTCTGTAGACTGTGTTGGGCTGAGCCTAGTACAGGAGCCTGAGGAATCGGAATAGGCTTTAGGGTTTAGGGTTTAGGGTTTAGGGTTTAGGGTTTAGGGTTTAGGGTTTAGGCTTTAGGCTTTAGGCTTTAGGCTTTAGGCTTTAGGCTTTAGGCTTTAGGCTTTAGGCTTTAGGCTTTAGGCTTTAGGCTTTAGGCTTTTATAGTAGAACTCTAACGGGACCATAAGGGAATCACATTCGTCATTTGTCCGGCCCCTATAGTACATGAGCGTACATGGCTTCACTCAGATTTTCGAGTTCGGAGTTCGATGCATCGGAGCCTCAGCCCCAAAACCGCAAACTTCCCTCGTCCCCAAACCCGTGGCAAGCCTTCAACCCTAGGCCACAGCCTGAACACTACAGCCCTGAACCCTGCACCCTGAACCCTGAACCCTGAACCCTAAACCCCAAACCCCAAACCCGAAACCCGAAACCCTAAACCCGAAACCCGAAACCCTAAACCCTAAACCCCAAACCCTAAACCCTAAACCCTAAACCCTATGCCAAGCTGAGAGGCTGAAGATCCTGGAGCATTCCCAGCAAGTCAAGCTGATCGTAGGCGGCGTGGCAGCAGTTGCGGGACACTGACACCGCCTGAGGGCGTTGTCCGAAATCGACTCTGGGGTTCAGGGTTTAGGGTTTGGGGTTTAGGGTTTAGGGTTTAGGGTTTAGGGTTTAGGGTTTAGGGTTTAGGGCTTAGGGCTTCGGGTTCCGGGTTCAGGTTTAGGGTTCAGGGGGTTTCGGGCACAGAGTTTGGGGTTCAGGATTTAGGCTAGGATTTAGTTCGGGCTTTTTGTCGTTCAGGGCGTCTGGGTTGAGGGGGTTCGGAGGGGGGGGGGGGGGGGGTTGGGGTCACGAAGACAGTTTGTTGACTAAGCTACCCGAGACTCCCTCCAGAGGAACAAAAAGAGACAGCAGGCCAGAACCGTGCATCGATGAAGCTGGCTGTGGGGGGGGGGGTTTGAAGGGGCCCCCACAAGGCCTCCAAAAGGCAACAGGCCACCAGAATCGCCCCGGACAAGGAGGGACCCTAATCCGATTCCCCTTTTCAAACCCAATCGTAACCCTTATATAGGTCGCCCAAGACCGTAAACAGGAAAAAAACTCGTAAGCACGAAGCATTAGACCCCCTCGAGCCTAAACCCTGACCCCTAAACCCTAAACCCTAAACCCCAAACCCTAAACCCTAAACCCTCATCTCCGCCTCACAGAGGATCGTCCGGCTGAAGTGTTCCACCAAAGGTGATACGGAGGGCTCGGATGCAAGAGACTCCTGCACAAGGTAGGGTTTAGGGTTTAGGGTTTAGGGTTTAGGGTTTAGGGTTTAGGGTTTAGGGTTTAGGGTTTAGGGTTTAGGGTTTAGGGTTTAGGGTTTAGGGTTTAGGGTTTAGGGTTTTATAGGGTTTAGGGTTTTATAGGGTTTAGGGTTTTATAGGGTTTAGGGTTTTATAGGGTTTAGGGTTTAGGGTTTAGGGTTTAGGGTTTAGGGTTTAGGGTTTAGGGTTTAGGGTTTAGGGTTTAGGGTTTAGGGTTTAGGGTTTTAGGGTTTAGGGTTTTAGGGTTTCGGGTTTCGGGTGTCAGGTTTCGGGTTTCGGGGTGACGTAAAAAGACATACACGCTGCATCCACGGAATGTCGGCTGCTGGCCTAAAGCACGACACCCGGCTGGAAAAACTTGAGGGCTTCCCCGAAATGCGCCTCAGGACGGACTCCAAAAGCCTAAACCCTAAACCCCAAACCGCAAACCCTAAACCCGAAACCCGAAACCCTAAACCCTAAACCCTAAACCCTAAACCCTAAACCCGAAACCCTAAACCCTGGCGGAAGTCCTTGGCTTCTTGGAGCAATCTCCGCCGCACGCCTGCCTCCGAGGTGCAGATGGGGAGGTGTTGGCTATGGCCTTTACGGCTAAGGGCTTACGGTTTCGGGTTTAGGGTTTAGGGTTTAGGGCTTAGGGTTTCAGGTTTAGGGCTAAGGGCTTTCGGTTGGGAGTTTCGGGCTACGTCCTGTAACGTCGATGCTTTGCATTCCTCCAAAATATACATCCTTTCGCGGCAATAGAAACATCTTGCCACACCCTGAGCTCGATACCCAAGAGAGGCCTGAACGCGAAATGCTAAACTCCAAACTCCAAACTCCAAACTCCTAAACTCCTAAACTCCTAAACCCTAAACCCTAAACCCTAAACCCTAAACCCTAAACCTAAACCCTAAACCCAGTTAAGTTCAGAGTCAGTTAAGTTCAGGGTGGGGGGTTTCCAGCCTTCTCCGTGTTCTCGCCCGACCCAAGGCTTAGTGCGGACGTGACCGCCATAATGTACCTGGGCCGTTCATCGGTTTGGCTTGAGGGTGGAGGGTTTACGGTTCAAGAGTTTTCAGGGTTTGAGGGTTTAGGGTTCAAGAGTTTTCAGGGTTTGAGGGTTTGAGGGTTTGAGGGTCTGAGGGTCTGAGGGTCTGAGGGTCTGAGGGTCTGAGGGTCTGAGGGTCTGAGGGTCTGAGGGTCTGAGGGTCTGAGGGTCTGAGGGTTTGAGGGTTTGAGGGTTTGAGGGCTTCTCATCTTTGAGGGTCTGAGGGTCTGAGGGTCTCTTTGAGGGTTTGAGGGTTTGAGATTCTCATCTTTGATGTTGCTCTTTGTTTGGGGGGATCAAGGCGCTTGGTGTGTAAGGTTGCTTTCTTGCTTGTGGGGGGGGAGGGTTCAGCCTAAACCCTAAACCCCAAACCCCAAACCCTAAACCCTAAACCCCAAACCCCAAACCCCAAACCCTAAACCCTAAAGTGGCAAGGGGGGTGTGGGGGGGGGGGGAAGGCCTACAGCCTCCCTGATGAGAAGCTCTGGGGGGCCGGCTCCGTCTTTGAGGATTTCGGTGGCTCTCAGGGTTCTCAAATTTCAGGGCTTGAAGTCTTTAGGGCTTAGGGCTTAGGGCTTAGGGCTCAGGGCTGAGGGTTTAGGGCTTAGGGCTCAGGGCTGAGGGCTTCTAGGGCGGCTTGCGCTTTTGGCGGGTGGGTGGCTGGGGGGGGGGGGGGTTAGGGCTTTTAGGCCTCAAGCCCTGGATGGGGTATCCTCAAGAACCTGCGCACAGGCATGTCCATTCCCGCGCTCAACTGGCGCGCCTCTAGGTAAAGGCACGCACATACATATGTGTATGTATATATATATATATATATAAACATATATGGGTTGGATATATGTATGTGGGTTGGACCTTTACGTCTTATTTGACGGACTGAGGGCTGCACGCAAAAAAAAGATTTACAATTAAAAGTGTGCTAGAGCTTACATGCCGAGAAGGGGGCTATGCTCTCTAGCGCCTGATCAACAACCCCAGCTAAACACCATGCACACATTAGGGTTTAGGGTTTAGGGTTCTTCCGGGCTTGCGTGGTTCATGCCGGCTAGGGTTTCGACCCTCCTGAATAGTCCCAAGCCCGCAACTCCTGGTACGCATCAAAGCCCTCAAAGCAACCAAACCCTCAGAACTTCTTACATAAACCCTAAACCCTAAATCCTACAACCCTAAACCCTCAACTCTAAACCCTAAACCCTAAACCCCCTCCCGCAAAATGCCCAAGACTCAAGCTCCACACACCCCGGGCCCCGGAAGGATGCCCGGCAGCACCCTTCTTTTCTTTGAAAGTTTAGGGTCTAGGGTCGAGGATCTGAGGCTTATGGTTTAGGGTCTAGAGTCTAGCGCTTACGGTTTCGAGCTTAGGGCTTAAGGCTTAGGGGCTTAGGGGCTTAGGGTTGAGGGCTGAGGGCTTCGGGTTTAGGGCTTAGGGTTCAGGGTGGTTCTGAAGTCTTGAATCTGGCTTGGCAGGACCTTTTGTTGACGTACCCCGTCCAAGCTCTGGTCAAGGTCTTTCGCCCGCTCGGAAGCTGCATCCCTCGCAAGCTCTGGTTAAAATGCTCGCTTTGTAGCTGGGAAGCTGCACCCCTGCCGGGCTCCGGTCGACATCACAGCCGAACGTGAAGGTCTTTAGACCCCTGAGAAATGTCTAACGCTTACGGTTTAGAGCTTAGGGCTTAGGGCTTAGGGCTTAGGGCTTGGGGCTTAGGGCTTAGGGCTTAGGGCCTAGGGTTTAGGGCTTAGGGCTTGGGGTTGAGGGTGGAAGTCTTGAATCTGTCTCTGGGCTTGGCAGGACCTTTTGTTGACGTACCCCTTCCAAGCTCTGGTCAAGGTCTTTAGCCCGCTGGGAAGATGCACCCCTCGCAAGCACTGGTTAAAATGCTCGCCGAAGGTCAAGGTTTGGTAGCTGGGAAGCTGCACCCCTGCCAGGCTCCGGTCGACATCACAGCCGAACGTGAAGGTCTTTAGACCCCTGAGAAACTGATCCCTTTCCAAGCAATGGTCAAAGCTTCCGCCGAATCTTGGTGGCCTTGGGACCAGCAGGGAGCTGTAAGGAATAGCCATCACTGAGTCCAGTCGTCTCGTTGAGATCGCCTCGCGGAAGTGTAGAGCCACCAGCGGTTGCGCTCAATCCACCTAAAAGTCTTCATGAAGCCGCGCCTCAGTTCTCCATGAACACAATTGTGTTTAAGGTTACATAAGCTGTCTTTATGTATATAATTCTGCAGAACGAGGAAGCACAAAAAGCTTTGAGGTTCAACTACAAAATGGGCAAGCTGCAGCCCGTGCAGGTCGATGACCGGCCGCTTCTGGCGCATCTCTCGGATCTGAGTCCAAGGCTTGAGATTATAACTGCGTGGGGTTTCCTAGCCAAGAAATTCTGCAACTAAACGAAAAAAAAAAAGTAAACAACAACTCACACTTCAGTGGGCGAGCAGCCAGATCGTCTGCCCACAGGTCGTGATTCTGCAAAAGTGCCACGGCGATCGTCAAAGCAGGACCGCGGACCCTGCCAACGTTGCAATGGACCCACACTTGCCGGTGTGGCTCCAGGGTCAGCTCACGGATGAAGTTCTGCCACCTCCATAGGAAACCCTCAACCCGAAATTGGCACGAATTCTATTTCTGGTTTTCTTCTCTCTTTATCATCCTAAAACCTAAACCCCGCAACGCCCGGAAATCAACATTAGCGATGAAAATACAGTCTATATAGAAAAACGCAATTTGATTGCGGGAGTAAGTCAATATCCTACATTTCAATAATTCATGCGCCGAGGAGCAGATTCTGCCTCTGAGCAAGGTAGTTCGGATTGGCAGGCACGACGCGCACACCCAGCGGTTCCAAGAGCTTTTTCTCTTCTTCATATGCCCTTGGTGCAGCGTGTAATACTATACTGTGAGACCGTAGCACTCAACCCTTTGGCTCTCCGCCCCCAAATATGACAACCCCTAGACAACCAGAAACTGCAAAGAGGTCGGCTTGATAAGGGTTTATGATCGTTAAAAGGTGCACCAAGATTCTGTCGTCGCTGGCAGTTCAAGACGAGCAGATCAGACATCGTGAAGCGGGTACGCAGGTCAGCCACCGTCTGCACCCCACTGAGCGTCAAGCCGTGGAACTCCACAAAGTGCCACGTCTTCAGGGATCCCGGAAAACCCCCGCGTAATCAGGCCTGCAATTGGGAACTTGCTTTAAGATGACAATTGAAGGGGTTCAAGGCTCCAAGAGACACGTCAAGTGTTTCGGTAACCCTGAACCCTTTTCTATATTTCTAACCTAAACCCTAAACCAAAAAATGTTGTAGCCACACCGTCCTCCGTGCCGTCCTGCCACTGCCACTGCCAATTGGCCGCAGCACCGGCTCGCCAATCCTCGCCCTCCTCCTGCTCTTCCTGGGTCGAAGCCGCCGCTTCTGCATCTATCACCTCCTCCGCCTGCTCCTCCGGTCTGTCCTGCACTTCTTCCTCCGATTCCTCTTCCTTCTCCTCTACGGGCGCACGGAGCGCCCCCTCCTTTTGAACCAGGGAAGCGCGAAGGAGGTGCGGAGCTGAACTTGGCCTTGCTCTCTTCACGCCAGACCTTCATAGGGTTTAGGGTTTAGGGTTTAAGGTTTAGGGTTTAGGGTTTAGGGGGTTTAGGGTTTAGGGTTTAGGCTTTAGGGTTTAGGACTTGGGGTTTAGGGTTTATGGTTTAGGGTTTAAGGTTTTGGGTTTAAGGTTTAGGGTTTAGGTCTTTCTAGATGCTTCTATAAAAATTGTATTAGTGCTGCGATTAGGCGCGGAGGTCGGGTGTTTAGAGAAGACCTTGTCACAGAACATACAGATAGAATGTTTTTTTAGGCGACGAGAAGGGAAAGTTCAGCGTGGAGGACTTGTGGAAAGAAAAGGGGGACCTGCAAATGTTGCCGAGCCGCGACCACACTCCCGCCCCCTCCTCCTCAACCAGCGAGGCGCGAGGGAGGTGCGGAGCGGAGACTGGCCTCGCCCGCTTCACGCCAGACCTTCATAGGGTTTAGGGTTTAAGGTTAAGGGCTTAAGGTTTAGAGTTTAGGGTTGTTTGTTGTTTAGGGTTTAGGGTTTAGGGTTTAGGGTTTAGGGTTTAGGGTTTAGGGTTTAGGGTTTAGGGTTTAGGGTTTAGGGCTTAGGGTTTAGGGTTTAGGGTTTAGTTCTTTCTAGATGTTTCTATAGAGCATTGTATTAGAGCTGCGATTGGGCGCGGAGGTTGGGTGTTTACAGAAAACCTTGTCACAGAACTTGCAGATATAATGTTCCTTTGGGCGACGAGAAGAGAAAGTTCAAGGCGTGGAGGACTTCTGCAAAGAAAAGGGGGACCTGCAAATGTTGCCGAGCCGCGACCATACTCCCGTGACTGCGTGGCACTTAAAACGCCGTGTAGAGCGCCGGTGCTCTTTAGCAGTGCGTTTCTTGTACTTTGGCATGGCAGACACTCAGAAACAAGCCATTGGGAAGGCACGCTGGCTGGAAATACGCTAGGGAGGCACGCTGGCTATATATAGGGTTGAGTGCCTGTCGTATGGGGCTTAGGGGCTGTGTCGAGTGCATAGACGATATGGGTTCTAGGTTTTCAGGTATAACCCTTGCTGCGAGTGTTTTAGTGTAGATAGAGCGCATGTGCAGTTTTTGGCGCTGTAGGGGTGATTCTTGAAACCCTAAAGCCGAACCAACCCTGAATCTTCCTAAGCCTCAAGACTCTTGAAATCCTAAAGCTTAAATAACCCTGAAACCTCCTAAACCTCAAGCCACACCCTTGAACCCGCGCCGGCAACAAATCGCTACAAAGCCGAATCTCGCAACCGCCAAGCAACAACTACAACTACGAGTTCAAGTTATACTCCGGGTTCAGGATTGGGTTCATATACTTCTACCACCTTCTCGCCTTCTCCCCAACCCTAAACCCTAAATCCTAAATCCTAAACCCTAAACCCTCAACCCTAAACCTCTAAACCCTTAACCCTCAACGACTTCAGACCTAAACCGTCCTGTGCATTGCCAGGCGCTGCAACTGCTGGCAAACTCCTCACCTACCGAAACCCTATTTTATGGCGAGCTACATGAGCCATCTCGCCTGTCAATTCCTGGCAACAGCGAGCCTCCCGAAAACCCTAACCCCTAACCCCTAATCCTTAAACCCTTAACCCTTAACCCTAGACCCTACACACTAAACCCGAAGCCCTGCATTCTAAACCCCAAACCCTAAAACCGAATGGGATGTTCAGGGTCAAGGGATCTTGGCCTTGCGCAGTCCCTGGATACTGGGCCCCAAAAGGGCTCTCAGAATTTTAACCGTCGTGCGTGCTGCTGCGTTGGCAGCAGATCACACCAGCAAGGGGCCAAGTTTCAAGTTTGGGGTTTCGGGTTTAAGGTTCAGGGCAGAAGTTTAGGATTTAAGGTTTAAGGTTTAGGGTTTAGGGTTTAGGGTTTAGAGTTAAGGGTTTAGGGTTTAGGGTTTGCCCAACGGTGCTGACTAACCCACCTTATAGTCACACTAGGGGCACTTATAAGAGGCTTATAAGTGGGTTAGAAGTACAGGTTTAATTGGGGCATTTCAAAGGCTTATAAAAGTGGGTTGTAAGTGCCGTTCGAATTGCCGACTCCTGCGCTCACAGTGCTGCAGCTCTTTAGATATTTAAACTGTTAAAAAAATTAAAGTGTTTAAAGTGTTTAAACTGCAAATCGTCCAAAAAACACCACAGAACTTAACAAATGTAAAGTTTAAAACTCAAAACCCTTTAACCTTAACATTTTTTCAAAACGATTTGCAGTTAGTTTAAACAAACAATTTAAAAACTTTAAACACTGTAAATATTTAAAAACTTTAAACTGTTTAAACTGTTTAAACTGTTTAAACTGTTTAAACTGCGCCTTCTTGAAGGTTCATGGTACTTACTAACCAATACGACTGGGCTTATAACCCTACTGATAATTGAGAACCCCTATAAGGCCCTTTAGGGCTATTATAAGTAGGGTTCTAGGTACAGTTATAACTGGTTAGTAAGTACCATGAACCTTTTCAAGTTCCTTTTGCAGTTTACACAGTTTAAACACTTTGAATATTTAAATGTTTAAACTGTTTACGATTTGCAGTTGAAACAGCTTAAACAGTTTACACAGTTCAATCCCCTGAAATATTTAAACAGTTTAAACTGTTTAAACTGCGCCTTCTTTTCACAGTCAGCGTTTGGCCACACCTTGCGCATATCTCCACGCCAAGTCTTAATTCCTTCCACCTGAGATTCACCTTCTTTCATCCTGTCAGTGAGAACCTCGCACTCACTCACAAAATAGTCTGCAGGTACGTCTACACCCCTGCCTGGGGGCGTCTTCGTTGGCCAGCGACCCCCAGGGAGAGCGCTGGCCCTCTGCTTCAAATCTGGCTTTCAAAACCGACCTTGCGCAACAGCAACTGACTCGCTTAGTGGCAGGGTTGGCACACACACACACACACCTTTCAATCAGAAAGGTCGAGGCATACGTTGGCATTCTTCATGGAAAGATGGAGGCATAAGCAGACTCTGTCAGCTACGACGCTAAATCGAACGCCGATTGGAACTTCTGCCGCTAATGCATTTGAACTCTTTGGGACATCAGAGAGCACGCAAGTCTCTACTCTAGGCAGAACATCTCCACATGCCCACACTCGTGCTGGCGTCTGAAACACACTCTGACATGGCAAATTCACACCTACTATGGCCCTGAAGAAAGCAGAACTGACGGACGCAACTGCCAAAGCCTCTGCGGGTCAACACATCGGAAATCAGACGGTAACAGACTGAGCATGTAGTGCACACAACGCTGCCGTTCAGTCAGAATAACAGGCTGCCAAGATGAGGTCTGGTTCTTCAACCAGGTTGCTGTAACTGCTGAGAACTTGATAAGCTCTGGCGGAGGAAGCTGCCAGAAGTGAGACTCAGTGAGACATAGAATTTGTAACTTGATCCTGCACCAAGAGCTGATATATCGATTGTTCATCCAACAACGTGCCTTCTGTGTGCTGTAGGGTGAGCTCTGCTCCTGGATCTCCCGGCGTGACTGCAGAGTCCGCTGTATGTCTGGCCACATGAAACGCTGCTGCCTTCGGACTGGTCTGCATGTGCCCCGCCGGAGACAATACCGGTGAAGGTCCACCAACTTTGCACTGATCCTCTCACCAGCTGCAAACGCATTAAGTGCACTACCATTTTGTTGCGAACACGTCAAAGAACAGGCAAGCGCGTCGACAGCAACCCTTGAGCGGAGATATTACGGATGGAAACACGCATTCTGAGTTCAAGCTATCTCCTGAGATCAAACCTGTTCATGACATCGTACTGACTGTGAACACAGTCGCAATGACAGGCAACAGACGGTGACAACTGCACACAGACGGTGACAAGTGCAAGCGCACTTATTCAGAGGAATTCTGTCAGACTGTACACTCACACACACTGCTTCTCATCGACAGTCCTGGCATAGAAAACGCCTGCGAGAACGTCATATACATAGAATGTCACATACATAGAATGGTAGACAAGGGATATGGGTATGTATATGTGTATAAACCACGGTCCGGAGCTTTCGCCGAACCCGGACAGGCATGCAAACCACGGTCCAGCACATACCGGACCCGGAACTGCACATACAAATAACTTTAACGGTTTTGAGCATAACGGCTCGCCTGAAAGCGGCGGGGGCACGAAAAAAAAATTGCGAGAGTTTAACCTGGGCGGAGACCCAATTTTACACCGAAAAGATTGCGTCCCAGGAGGGCGGCCGGCTCGCCTAAGGGCGGCCGGCTCGCCTAAGAGCGGCCGGCTCGCCTGAGGGCGGCCGGTGCGCCTAGCGCGCCTAGGGCGGCCGGCTCGCCTGAGGGCGGCCGGTGCGCCTAGCGCGCCTAAGGGCGGCCGGCTCGCCTGAGGGCGGCTGGTGCGCCTAGCGCGCCTAAGGGCGGCCGGCTCGCCTGAGGGCGGCCGGCGCGCCTAGCACGCCTAAGGGCGGCCAGCTCGCCTCAGGGCGGCTGGCTCACCTTTTCTGGTGAGTGTGGTTCGTGGCCGCCTTTCAATTAACAAATGAATACTATTCGCAATTTAAACACTTTTTAACTGTTTAAACTGTTGAAACTGCGCCTTCCTTTTGCAGTTTAAACACTTTAAACACTTTAAATATTTAAAAAGTTTAAACTGTTTAAACTGCGCCTTCTATTCGCAGTTTAAACAGTTTAAACACTTTAAATATTTACAAAGTTTAAACTGTTTAAACTGCGCCTTCTATTGGCAGTTTAAACAGTTTAAACACTTTAAATATTTAAAAAGATTAAAAAGTTTAAACTGTTTAAAGTGTTTAAACTGCAAATCGTCCAGAAAAAGCACTACAGAATTCAAAAAAATGGAAAGCTTAAAACTCGGCTTTTTGAAACGATTTGCAGTTTAAACAGTTTAAACAGTTTAAACACTTTAAACACTTTAAATATTTAAAAAGTTTAAACTGTTTAAACTGCGCCTTCTATTCGCAGTTTAAACACTTTAAACACTTTAAATATTTAAAAAGTTTAAACTGTTTAAACTGCGCCTTCTATTCGCAGTTTAAACACTTTAAACACTTTTAATATTTAAAAAGTTTAAACTGTTTAAACTGCGCCTTCTATTCGCAGTTTAAACAGTTTAAACACTTTAAATATTTAAAAAGATTAAAAAGTTTAAACTGTTTAAAGTGTTTAAACTGCAAATCGTCCAGAAAAAGCACTACAGAATTGAAAAGATGTAAAGCTTAAAACTCGGCTTTTTGAAACGATTTGCAGTTTAAACAGTTTAAACAGTTTAAACACTTTAAACACTTTAAATATTTTAAAAGTTTAAACTGTTTAAACTGCGCCTTCTATTCGCAGTTTAAACAGTTTAAACACTTTAAATATTTAAGAAGTTTAAACTGTTTAAACTGCGCCTTCTATTGGCAGTTTAAACAGTTTAAACACTTTAAATATTTAAAAAGATTAAAAAGTTTAAACTGTTTAAAGTGTTTAAACTGCAAATCGTCCAGAAAAAGCACTACAGAATTGAAAAGATGTAAAGCTTAAAACTCGGCTTTTTGAAACGATTTGCAGTTTAAACAGTTTAAACAGTTTAAACACTTTAAACACTTTAAACACTTTAAATATTTAAAAAGTTTAAACTTTTTAAACTGCGCCTTCTATTCGCAGTTTAAACACTTTAAACACTTTAAATATTTAAAAAGTTTAAACTGTTTAAACTGCGCCTTCTATTCGCAGTTTAAACAGTTTAAACACTTTAAATATTTAAAAAGATTAAAAAGTTTAAACTGTTTAAAGTGTTTAAACTGCAAATCGTCCAGAAAAAGCACTACAGAATTGAAAAGATGTAAAGCTTGAAACTCGGCTTTTTGAAACGATTTGCAGTTTAAACAGTTTAAACAGTTTAAACACTTTAAACACTTTAAATATTTTAAAAGTTTAAACTGTTTAAACTGCGCCTTCTATTCGCAGTTTAAACACTTTAAACACTTTAAATATTTAAAAAGTTTAAACTGTTTAAACTGCGCCTTCTATTCGCAGTTTAAACAGTTTAAACACTTTAAATATTTAAAAAGATTAAAAAGTTTAAACTGTTTAAAGTGTTTAAACTGCAAATCGTCCAGAAAAAGCACTACAGAATTCAAAAAATGTAAAGCTTAAAACTCGGCTTTTTGAAACGATTTGCAGTTTAAACAGTTTAAACAGTTTAAACACTTTAAACACTTTAAATATTTAAAAAGTTTAAACTGTTTAAACTGCGCCTTCTATTCGCAGTTTAAACAGTTTAAACACTTTAAATATTAAAAATATTTAAACTGTTTAAACTGCGCCTTCCTTTTGCAGTTTAAACAGTTGAAACACTTTAAATATTTAAACTATTCAAACTGTTTAAACTGCGCCTTCAAGGCCCGCACTTTAATCAGTTTTATCTTTTTAAATAGCACAGGGCACCCGTCAAATAGAGCATAAAGGTCTACCTTACATATATGTATATATATATATTTATGTATATCTAGATTTGTACTCTCTATATATATATGGTCACACCCCCCCCCCCATGATCCATATGTATCCTTTTCTTGCTTGTCCTTCTGCACCTGTGCTTATTTGCACATCTGGTTGAAGTGAAAAAACACCGGTATTTACGATACTTTCGTGTCTTGCCATGTCTGAAGCTACAACTTGCTATTGATTATCTACACTTTTAAACAACAGAAATCTACAAACAGAATCCGTTTCTGGATTTGGTTTTGTGTGGTTTGCTAATCTCTATTATTCACTCTATAGTAGCTTCCAATATACACCTTCTTGAACTTCAACAATATTCATTGATTAGATAAATATTACCTTAAAAACCATTGTATAATGCATGAACATAAAAGAAGAGATGAAGGGGTTTCAAATAAAGCACCTAACACAAGAAGCAGACTACATAATGAAGTTAGAGACGAATTCGCAAAGACAGAGACATTCTTAACGGACACGCAAGGACTTAAATTAGCGTATGAGAATCCTGACGGGATATATCAAAAATGGTTCTATTTTATACATTGCTGGCACTAAAAGCTGTAGAGATGTTTATGGTGATTGAAACATTCCTCTATATAAGACGCAACTGACTCAGTGTCATAAAGATGTAGATAAGTTCATTCAAGATGGTTTTATTGAAATAGACGGTTAAAGAAAAGAAGAAACTGGAATTTCTAGTATTGTAAGTCACAGTTTAGGTTCAGCATACGGACAACAATAAAACAATGATTATGGGAATGTATTCAGAAGTCGTAGCTATGGTTCTCCTTATGTATCAGGACAACGACCAGAAGACACTGGGACAAAACATATGAATACGGAAAGTAGAAGACCCCGTTAGTATGTTTGAAAAAGGAAGTATAACATCAAAGAAATCAACATTAGACCCTCTACAAAAACATCCTTATGAAGATATAGGCAATATTAAAAACAAAGCAGGACATCTACTTATAACCGAAGAAGTTTTTAACAACAGTTTGATGCCATAATCATTTCATAAGAAAGCAACAACATACGAACAAATAGAGACATCGAAGATAGAGAAGCAATTTAAACAACATGCTTACGAAGAGATAAGAAAGTTAGTTGAGAATAATTAAGTAGATGAAGCAGTTAAGCAGGTGAAAGGTAGGAAGAAGAATAATAGTAAGACACTTCATATAGTTTTGAATTACTTGATTGAAAACAAGTTGAAGGTATGTATATGTAATCAAATTATCTATGCTATTTATATATCATGGAAACTTTTAGTCCCGCAGATATCCTCATTGATAGTTGAAGTTTTCTTTGACACAAAGGTAGTTCTTGTGTTAATTGTCAAGGGTTTAAGACCAAAACGATATTTGGATTTAAACCATTGCGTGGCCTCTTCTCACAAGTTAGATATTTGCCGTCAAAAAATATGGGAAACTTACCAATTGAAATAGAATTGGTAACTAATGCTACTAGTTGTATCAATTACCGCAGTCAGAACATCGAGCCGGCTCGAATTTTCCGAAAAATCTCCAGGCACCAGGTCACCACAACTCGAGCAGGCTCGAATTTTCCAAAAAAAACCTACATTCTGTCATCTATGAGACCTTGGGGTCACACAGCCATGGTTTCAGCATATTTTTTAGAAAATTCGAGCCGGCTCGAATTTTCCGAAAATTCTTGAAGCTCCAAGTCTCGAAAACTCGAGCAGGCTCGAATTTTCCAAAAAAAACCAAAATTATGTCATCTATGAGCCCTTTGGGTCACACAGCTATGGTTTCAGCATTTTTTTTAAAAAACTCGAGCCGGCTCGAATTTTCCGAAAATTCTTGAAGCTCCAGGTCTCGAAAACTCGAGCAGGCTCGAATTTTCAAAAAAAAACCGAACTTTCAGGATCTACCGGGCTGCTGGAGCAATAGATCCTGAAATTTAGGTTTCTTTTGGAAAATTCGAGCCTGCTCGTGTTTGGGCGACCTACTGTGTCAGTTTTTTTTGGAAAATTCGAGCCGGCTCGAATTTTCCTAGAATTCTTGAAGCTTTAGGTCCCAGAAACTCGAGCAGGCTCGAATTTTCCAAAAAAAAACCTAACTTTCAGGATCTACCGGGCTGCTGGAGCCATAGATCCTGAAATTTAGGTTTTTTTGGGAAAATTCGAGCCTGCTCGTGTTTGGGCGACCTACTGTGTCAGTTTTTTTTGGAAAATTCGAGCCGGCTCGAATTTTCCTAAAGTTCTTGAAGCTTTAGGTCCCAGAAACTCGAGCAGGCTCGAATTTTCAAAAAAAAAACCTAACTTTCAGGATCTACCGGGCTGCTGGAGCCATAGATCCTGAAATTGAGGTTTTTTTTGGAAAATTCGAGCCTGGTCGTGTTTCGGCAATCTACTGTGTCAGTTTTTTTTGGAAAATTCGAGCCGGCTCGAATTTTCCTAGAATTCTTGAAGCTTTAGGTCCCAGAAACTCGAGCAGGCTCGAATTTTCCAAAAAAAACCGAACTTTCAGGATCTACCGGGCTGCTGGAGCCATAGATCCTGAAATTTAGGTTTTTTTTGGAAAATTCGAGCCTGCTCGTGTTTGGGCGACCTACTGTGTCAGTTTTTTTTGGAAAATTCGAGCCGGCTCGAGTTTTCTAAAAAAGCATGATTTTTTCGGGTATTTTTCTACCTTGTTGATGTAAATGACCTGCGTGACTTGAAATGATATAGGTTTTTATCGGCCCTGTCGGTGTTTTTGTCGCTAGCTCATAGCCCCCTCTCCTCCCAAGATCCATCTGTTTCGAAGCAGAAACGTGGATCATGGGGGGGGGGGGGGCGTGAGCATATATATATATATATCCACACATCTAGAAAAAGAAGTGCACACATACATTTCTCCACAGCAGCTTAACTGATGCTCCAAAGCCTACAGTAAAACCTCATGCAGCACCCTCAGCACAACCCAGTAAGCCTCGAGCCCTAAACCCTAAATCCTAAACCCTAAACCCTAAACCCTAAACCCCCCCCAATGCCTCCAAATCCATTTCCCAACCTCTCTGCTCTGTCCAAGTGGCTGAAGGCACGCCACCCCTTCCAGTGCAAACTCATTCCTGGGTTTAGGGTTTAGGGTTTCGGGCTTAGGGCTTCGGGCTTCGCGCTTAGGGCTTCGCGCTGAGGGCTTCGGGCTTAGGGCTTCGGGCTTAGGGTTTAGGGCCTCGGGCCTGGCCCGGGCGCGGAGGCTTAGGAGGGTCTGCGGGGCAGAAGACGCTTCAGCTCCCAGAGCGGCCTTGGAATCCTTCACGAACCTCCCCGGGTGGTGAGGGATCTAGGGAGGCACGGGTTGAAAGACTTAGGGTTCATGGTTCAGGGTTCAGGGTTCAGGGTTCAGGGTTCAGGGTTCAGAGTTCAGGGTTCAGGGTTCAGGGTTCAGGGTTTAGAGTTTAGGGTTTAAGGTTTAGGGATTAGGGTTTAGGGTTTAAGGTTTAGGGATTAGGGTTTAGTAGGTTCAGGGTTCAGAGTTCATTTTTTTACGGTTTGGGGGTGGAAGTGCCTCGGACCCCGAAAGGTCCAAAGCCTTTATCGGGCCGTTGGTTGGTTTACTACGATGGCCCCTTAAATGTGACCCTCTTCAACCCAATAAGGGAGAATATGAAATGCCCCAAGGGCCTACCCCAAACCCTAAACCCTCAACCCTCAACCACCCTGAACCCTAAACCCTAAACCCTAAACCCTAAACCCTAAACCCTAAACCCTAAACCCTAAATCCTTAACCCTAAGGCCCCTAGTTTGGGACTTTCGGGTCTACGGGATTCCGGACCCTCTGGTCGGTCGAGACGATCGATTTTTTTCTCTTGCAGGACTTTTTTTCGGGACTCGGGTTTTAGGGTTTAGGGTTCAGGGTTCAGGGTTCAGGGTTTAGGGTTTAGGGTTTAGGGTTTAGGGTTTAGGGTTTAGGGTTTAGGGCTTAGGGTTTAGGGTTCAGGGTTTAGGGTCCAGCGTTTCAGGTTTTCGAACTGAAGCTGGTAATTAGTCAAAACTGACTCTGAAAGCTCGTCAAGTTTGTCCAGAACGTGCAGAGGGCTGGAAAACTTTGGGGTACCAAACAGGGCCCGCAACTAACCCTAAACCCTAAACCCTAAACCCTAAACCCTAAACCCTAAACCCAACAGCTGCTTCAAGGCTCATGCACTCGGGGGCCACAAAGGCACAGCGACTCAAGGCCCTGCCGGCTGGGCGGCTTTAGGGTTTTAGGGTTTTGGGGCCTTAGGGTTTAGGGTTTAGGGTTTAGGGTTTGGGGTTTGGGGTTTGGGGTTTAGGGGTTTAGGGGTTTTGGGGTTTTGGGGTTTTGGGGTTTTGGGGTTTTGGGGTTTTGGGGTTTTGGGGTTTTGGGGTTTTGGGGATTTGGGGTCTTGGGGTTTTGGGGATTTGGAGTTTTGGGGTTTTGGGGTTTTGGGGTTTTGGGGTTTTGGGGTTTTGGGTTTTGGGGTTTTGGGGTTTTGGGGTTTTGGGGTTTAGAGTTTAGCGTTTGGATTCTGGGGTTGGTAGTGTTTAGGGCTTTGGGGGCTCAAGGAATTAAGGCTTCTGGTTTTGTAACGGCTTCTGGTTGTTTAACGGTTTCTTCTACAGGAATTTCGGTACTTTTGCACTGTATGAGTCCGGTGGCTTAAGGTGTTGTTTTCGGTTGCCAAGACAGTCTTCGGGGTCTCTTGAAGGCTGCTCTTGCTTTAGGGCTTGGGGGGGCTTTTGGGTCTGCTGCTGCTTTCCGACTTTTTTGGGGGGGTTGCTGTTTGTTTTTTTTTTTTTCTTTTTTTTGGGGGGGGGGGGGTGTTTCAGCATTCAGGGTTTGGGCTTTTGTGGGAGCAGTTGGCTTCTGTTGAGGGTCTTAGCTTGAATCTGTTGGAGTTACGGGAGGGTTTGGGTTCTGAGTGCTTCAGGATTTTGGATCTGGGCCTCTTGAGGGCTTCAAGCTTTAGGGTTCTGTGGCTTCAGGCCTTGGGGAACCCTAAGCCCGAAACCATAAACACCGAAACCCTGGAAAACCCTAAGCCCCTGAAACCCTGAATCCCCCAAACCCTTCATAACCCTAAACCCTAAACCCTAAACCCCGAAACCCTAAACCCTAAACCCTAAAGGGGTTAGTGTTTGGAGTCTGGGGCCAGGGGAACGCGCTCAACCAAAGAGGCATGCAACCACAACCCTCAGCTTCTCGCTGGTGTTCCTTGTCCCTTCACAAACACAGTCGCCGGAAGTAGGGTATAGACTTTAGGGTGTAGGGTTTAGGGTTTGGGGTTTAGGGTTTGGGGTTTAGGGTTTGGGGTTTGAGGTTTGGGGTTTTGGGTTTAGAGTTTAGGGCTTAAAGGGTGCCTCAGCGACATCACGCGAGCTGCCAAAGTTTCTGCCCTCGCAAGAGACACGGTGGAGGGTTGGAAGGGCGGACCGTTGCCTAAACCCCAAACCCCCCAAATCCCCACGCCCCCCGAAACCCTAAACCCTCAACCCAAAACCCCAAACCTTCAACCCTACACCCTAGGGTCCCTTTCAGGGGGTGCTATAGTTTTCAGGGAAGATCAGAGCTCTGGGCTTAGGGCTCGGGCCGAGGGTTCAGGGCTTAGGGTTTAGGGTGTAGGGTTTAGGGTTTAGGGTTCGGGGTTTAGGGCTTAGGGTTTAAGGCAGGGGTAACCCCTGTTTTGGCAACTACCCGTGTGCTTTTTATCGCTACAGCATATGCATCTATTTGGTGGGCCAAGTATTGTCAAAGAGTTGCGATTTGTGCGTTGTCGCACGCCATGCAATGAACCCTAAACCCTAAACCCTAAACCCTAAACCCTAAACCCTAAACCCTAAACCCTAAACCCCTAAACCCCTAAACCCTAAACCCCAAACCCCTAAACCCTAAACCCTAAACCCTAAACCCTCTGTAGGTTGTAGCAATATCAAGCCAAGGAGCTCCGTGTCTAAACAAAGCATGGCCACAGACTTACCCGCCCCGACCGGCTTCGAGCTTGGGGCTTGTAAATTGGGGTTTAGGGTTTGGGGTTTGGGGTTTGGGGTTTGGGGTTTAGGGTTTAGGGTTTAGGGGTTAGGGTTTAGGGTTTAGGGTTTAGGGTTTAGGGTTTAGGGTTTAGGGTTTAGGGTTTAGGGTTTAGGGTTTAGGGTTTAGGGTTTAGGGTTTAGCCTTCTGCCCACTGCCTCTGGCTGAGCAGGAGGCGCTGCAGTCCTCCCCCTAACTTCCGCCACATCTCTAACCCCAAGCCCGAAACCCTAAACCCTGGACCCTCAAGGAGCCTGGCAGGAAGGACGCAAAGCAGCCGGAAGAGATGCTCCTGATTTGGGGTAATGCTGTATAGCGGCTTCAAGTCTATTGAGGGTTTAGGGTTTAGGGTTTGGTTTAGGGTTAAGGGTTTAGGTTAGGGTTCAAGGTTTAAGTCTAAGGGCTTGGCACAGTGCATGGAACTTCACGCCGGGCAAAGCTCTTCCAACGCTTCAACCACTTCTAACCCAAGCGCTGAAACCCCTGACCCCCTTAAAGGGTTTAGGGCGTTGGATTTGCAACCACAAACCCGAAACCCTAAACGCTAAACCCTAAACCCTGAACCCTTAACCCTAAACCCCAAACCCCCCAAACTTTGAATCTTACATGGCGTCCTGGGCGATCTTGGCCAGGTCGGCGTGGCAGCAGCTTCGGTCCAGGATGCACACGAGGTACTCCACTTCATCCTCCCACTTTCCAAGCTTTCGCAAAGATGAGGTTGCGGGTTTAGGGTTTAGGGTTTAGGGTTTAGGGTTTAGGGTTTAGGGTTTAGGGTTTAGGGTTTAGGGTTTAGGGTTTAGGGTTTAGGGTTTAGGTTTAGTGTTAGTGATCAGTTCGGGGTTGAGAGTCGAGAGTTTCAGCTGAGGGTTTGAGCAAGGACCCCACATCTCCTGCAAGCGGACGGGCTTAACAAAACCCTCCGCCCCAAATTGGCTAAACCCTAAACCCTAAACCCCAAACCCTAAACCCAAAACCCAAAACCCTAAACCCTTAACCCGAAACCACAATCCTAAACCCTAAACTCTAAACCCTACGCCCTTCAGAGGTTTGGGGTGTGGAGTTGAGGGTTGAGTCCCGTACTACGGGAAAAATTTGAAACCTTGAAACCCTGCAACCCTGCAACCCTGCAACCCTAAAACCCCAAAACCCGAAAACCCTAAAACCCTAAAACCCTAAAACCCTAAAACCCTAAAACCCTAAAACCCTAAAACCCTAAAACCCTAAAACCCTAAAACCCTAAAACCCTAAAACCCTAAAACCCTAAAACCCTAAAACCCTAGAAACCCTAAAACCCTAAAACCCTAAAACCCTAAAACCCTAAAACCCTAAAACCCTGAAACCCTAAAACCCTAAAACCTTAAACCCTGAACCCTAAACCCTAAAACCGTGAACCCTAAACCCCTAACCTAAACACCCTCGGAGTTCTCTCGTAGCAGCGCCGTCCTTGACGGGGGGAGCCTCTCCCAATGTAGCCAACTTCTTCTCCATGCGGCGGAGCACGCGCACGAACCTGGAGAGCATTTCCAAAAACAAGGTTTAGGGTTTAGGGTTTAGGGTTTAGGGTTTAGGGTTTAGGGTTTAGGGTTTAGGGTTTAGGGTTTAGGGTTTAGGGTTTGGGGTTTGGGGTTTGGGGTTTGGGGTTTGGGGTTTCAAGTCTCAGCATTCTCTGAACCCTACGAACCCTGAGGCGCGCGCTTCTCACTGGTCATCAACACCTGCGAGCTGGCCTGAGGACGGGGTTTAGGGTTTAGGGTTTAGGGTTTAGGGTTTAGGGTTTAGGGTTTAGGGTTTAGGGTTTAGGGTTTAGGGTTTAGGGTTTAGAGCTACGGGGTTTTGAGTGGCTTTTGCTCTTTTGTTTGAGGGTGTTGAGTGGACTTTTAGGGATTCTGGTGGTTTTTGCTTCTTGTTTTTTTTTATCATTTTTATTTTCTATTTTTTTTTTTTGGGGGGGGGGGGGTGAGAGTGGTTTTTGAAGGTTTTGGTTGCTTCTTTGGCCTTTTGGTGGATCGTTGTGGCCTTGCAGGGGGTTGCAACGATTGACCACCAGAGACAATTCAGGCCTCTAGGCTGGTGGGTTGTAGGGCAAGGGTTTCGCGGTTGCAGGGCTTTCGGGTTCTGGGTTTGGGGTATTTAGGGCTTGGGGAATTTTAGGGCTTAGGGTTCAGGGCTTAGGATAGGGTTTTAGGGCTTAGGTTTAGGGTTTAGGGTTTAGGGTTTAGGGTTTAGGGTTTAGGGTTTAGGGTTTAGGGTTTAGGGTTTAGGGTTTAGGGTTTAGGGTTTAGGGTTTAGGGTTTAGGGTGAAGACAGGGTCGGCAATGCAGGCGCCACTTTCAGGGCACCTCCCCCTCATACTTGGCAGCGGAGTTGCTGGGTTTAGCAGGGGACCCAGGAGGGTTTGGGGTTTAGGGTTTAGGGTTTAGGGTTTAGGGTTTAGGGTTTAGGGTTTAGGGTCTAGGGTTTAGGGTTTAGGGTTTAGGGTTTAGGGTCTTAGGGTTTAGGGTTTAGGGTTTAGGGTTTAGGGTTTAGGGTTTAGGGTTTAGGGTTTAGGGTTTAGGGTTTAGGGTTTAGGGTTTAGGGTTTAGGAACCAATCTTGGCCGATGGGCAGAGAAGGGTACCACTGCCCTAGAAATGGGCTTTGGGTGTTGGCTTTAAGCGATTTCTCGGGGAATTTTAACAAAGCTGCTGCAATCCCAAACCCTAAACCCTAAACCCTAAACCCTAAACCCTAAATGACCCCGGCCCCAAAAAACTAAAACCGCCAGCCCCCACGGGCCTTGTTCGAGCTCATCGCGCAGAGCACGAGCATCACAGGAACCTGGGTCGTTACCGACATGAGCTCGGTGGCTGAGGGTTTAGGATTTAAGTGGTTTAGGTGGTTTAGGGTAGGGTTTTTCGGTGGCTTAGGGTTTAGGGTTTAGTGTTTAACTTAGTGTTTAGGGTTAAGGATTTTGGGGGTCTAGAGGTTTAGCCGGCCAGGCAAAACCGCCACCCTGCAGGCTAAAACTTGGGCGCTAGCCCCAGACCATCCTAGAACCCTGAAAGCCTTAAACTTAACTCCTAAACCCCGAAAAAACTCTAAACCCTAAACTCCTAAACCCCTAAGCTCCCCAGAGCCCAAAGCTCCCTAAAGCCCTCAAACTCCCCCCAAACCCCAAACCCCAAACCCCAAACCCCAAACCCCCAACCCCAAACCCCAAACCCCAAACCCTAAACCCCAAACCCCAAACCCCAACCCCTAAACCCTAAACCCCAAACCCCAAACCCCAAACCCTAAACCCTAAACCCCTAAACCCTAAACCCTAAACCCTAAACCCTAAACCCCAAACCCTAAACCCTAAACCCTAAACCCTAAACCCCCCCCCCCAAACAGCCCTCTGAGGCGTCCGGCCCGGAGGGTGGCCGTCGGAAGTTCGAGGAGCGAGACGAGGGGCGACTCGAGGTTCAGGGCGCTCATGGCCTTGGGAGGTTTTTTATGGGTTTAGGCTTTAGGGTTTAGGGTTTAGGGTTCAGGGTTTAGGGTTTAGGGTTTAGGGTTTAGGGTTTAGAGTTTAGGGTTTAGGGTTTAGGGTTTAGGGTTTAGGGTTTAGGGCTTTTAGGGGCTTTGTCAGGGCTCTTGGGAGGCTTTCAGGGTTTAGGGTTTAGGGGTTAAGGGCTAGGGTTTAGGGTTTAGGGTTTAGGGTTTAATGTTGAGGGTTTTCGCGGTTTAGGGGTTTAGGGGGTTTAAGGGGTTTAAGGGGTTTAAGGAGTTTAAGGGGTTTAATGGGTTTAAGGGGTTTAAGGGGTTTAAGGGGCTTAAGGGGTTTAAGGGGTTTAAGGGGTTTAAGGAGCTTAAGGGGTTTAAGGGTTTTAGGGGCTTGAGGGAGTTGAAGGGCTTTGGGGGGGGGGGGGGGGATGTTGATCAGGGCTTTGGGAGTTTGGGGCGTTCAAGGATTCGGTTTAGGGTTAGGGTGTGTAGGCTTTTGTAGGAAACAGTGTGGCTCCGAGGTGTTCCGTGCGCCCCGACTCCCTTTTCAAGTCCCTGATATTCGGCGCAAAATTGTGGCGGGAGGGGCCTCTGCGTCGTAGGTCCTCCCTTGGGAAGCCCTGAAACCCCTAAACCCCTAAGCCCTAAACCCTAAAACTTTACGCTCTTCAACCCTAAAGCCTAAAGCCTTAAACCCCTGAACCCTAACCTTACACGTACGGGTTCTCGGTCGGAAGGTTTTTGTGTCTGATCCGGGGCTTCAAAGGGTTAGGGTGCAAGAATGGCTCAAGGGCTGCAAGGCTTTCAGGGGTTTAGGGCTTAGGGTTTTGGATTTAGGGTTTAGGGTTTAGGGCTTGGGGTTTACGGCACGTACCAATGTTGGAACGTCCGGCTCTTTAGGTTGAGGGTTGAGGGTTTAGGGCAATCTTCAAATGGACACAGCCACACCAAGCATCCGACAGAGAGGCCGTGCTCGTTGGCCACAAGGGCGGTGAGTAGCTGGGCAATGATCCTGCGCATGGGGCTTTAGGGCTTTAGGGCTGTGGGGTTTAGGGTTTAGGGTTTGGGGTTTAGGGTTTAGGGTTTAGGGTTTAGGGTTTAGGGTTTAGGGTTTAGGGTTTAGGGTTTAGGGTTTAGGGTTTAGGGTTTAGGGTTTAGGGTTTAGGGTTTAGGGTTTAGGGTTTAGGGTTTAGGGTTTAGGGTTTAGGGTTCACCCCGAAACCCCTACAACCCCCAAACAAGCGCCAAGGCCCTAGAGTCGATGAACCCAGGCCCATGGCACTGTAAGTTTAGGGTTTAGGGTCCAGGGTCTAGGGTTTAGGGTTTGAGGGGAGACCTCCGAAAGGGGAGTTGTAGAGAACAATGTTTGGGGTTTAGGGTTTAGAATTTAGGGTTTAGGGTTTAAGAAGGAAACGGGAGAAAGACAGTCGAGAGACTGAACAGGCGAACTGGCGAACTTGCGCAAGGAAGAGAAGAAGAGAAAGTACCAGGGGGCAGGCGGCTTCTGGTTACAATTCTGTCTTTTCAGCTCCCTCCTTTGCTCCAGAGCGATAACCGAAAAACCCTAAACCCTCAACCCTGAACCCTAAACCGGAAACCCTAAACCCGCAGCCCTAAACCCTTAAGCTGCCTCTCAGACTTGTTCCTTCGAAATTTGCTTCAGCACATCGCAGAACTGCTTGCAATGCGTCGTTTCGGACTTGAGAGCTTCAGCCTAGTTGTCCATTAACCCTAAACCCTAAACCCTAAACCCTAAACCCTAAACCCTAAACCCTAAACCCTACTAGGTCAGCTCTGGAGGACCAGGGCACGCGACTGAGCCCGGCTCGGCTTGAGGTTTTGGGGCTCTCGGGGTTCTAGGTTTCTTTTTCTGAGGGCTTGAGGTTTAGGGTTTAGGGGTTTAGGGTTTAGGGGTTTTGGGGTTTAGGGGCTTTGGGGTTTAGGGGTTTAGGGGGTTAGGGGTTTAGGGGCTTAGAGGTTTAGGGGTTTAGGGGTTTAGGGGCTTAGGGGTTTAGGGGTTTAGGGGTTTAGGGGTTTAGGGGTTTAGGGGTTTAGGGGTTTAGGGGTTTAGGCTTAGGGGTTTAGGGGTTTAGGGGTTTAGGGGTTTAGGGGTTTAGGGGTTTAGGGGTTTTAGGGTTTTAGGGTTTTAGGGTTTTAGGGGTCTAGGGGTTTAGGGGTTTAGGGGTGGGGGGCTTAGGGGGTTGAAGGGGGTTCAGGGGGTTTCGGCTTTCCTCCAAACCCGAAACCCGAAACCCGAAACCCTAAACCCTACACCCTAAACCCAAAACCCTAAACCCTAACCCTAAACCCGACAGCAGCGGGGTCTCCTGAAGGAGGCGTCGGCCTTGGCGACCTCGTCGGCGGTTGGCCGGTGCTGTCCTGCAAGAAGCTTAGGGGAGTTTAGGGGGTTTAGGGGGGAAGCTTAGGGGGGTTTGGGGGGAAGCTTAGGGGGGTTTGGGGGGTAGGCGTTGGGAGGTTTGGGAGGGCTTAGGGGAGTTTAGGGGGTTTGGGGGGAGTAGGAGGTTTAGGGGGTTTAGGGGAGTTAGGGTTTTTTGGGTTCTTAGGGCTTAGTGCAGCCAAGGGGGTTTAGGGTTCTGAGCGTTCCCAAGCCTAAGCCCCGAGCCCTCGCACCTCGACCCGATTATCCATATTCATGCACACAAACCCCTAACCCCTAAACCCCGAAACCCCTAAATCCCTAAATCCCTGAACCCCTAAACCCCTAAACCCCTAAACCCCAAAACCCCCAAAAACCCCAAAAACCCCAAAAAACCCAAAAAACCCAAAAAAACCCAAAACCCCTAAACCCCTACACCCCTAAACCCCTAAACCCCTAAACCCCTAAACCCTAAACCCCTAAACCCCTAAACCCCTAAACCCTGAACGCCTAAACCCTAAAGCTCAAACCCCAGACGCTAGACCTTAAACCCTAAACCTTAAACCCTAAACCCTAAAGCCGAAAGCCTAAACCCTAACCCCTATACCCTAAACCCTAAACCCTAACCCCTAAACCCTAAACCCTAAACCCTAAACCCAAAACCCAAAACCCTAAACCCTAAATCCTAAACCCTACCACTGGCTCCTGGGGGCAGCTCGGGGGCGTCTTCCCCCTGGCGCATCTGCCAGGCACGCTCCGCTTCCAGGTCCTCCGGACAGTTCTTGCCAGAGCTTAGGGTTTAGGGTTAGGGGTGCAATCCCTAAACCTGGAACCCTAAATCCTAAAACCCTAAACCCTAAATCCTAAACTCTAAGCCCTAAACCCTAAATCCTAAACTCTAATCCCTAAACTCTAAACCCTAAACTCTAAACCCGAACCTTATAGGGCTTGAGGATGAACCCGTGGTTCTGCTAGGAAATCTCGGGCTGGGGAAGACACGGACCCCCGACCCAGCCTCATGTTTGAGAGTTTATAGGGGCCCGAAACCCCAAAACTATCATGTTCTTGGGGTTTAGGGTTGAGGGTTGAGGGTTTAGGGTTTAGGGTTTAGGGTTTAGGGTTGAGGGCTTAGGGTTTGGGGTTTGGGGTTTAAGGTTTAGGGTTTAGGGAAAACCCTACACCCCAAAGCCCAAACCCCAAACTCTTCAACCCCAAACAGATTCACCCTGAAATCAAACACCCCAAACCCTGAAACCCGAGAACCCTCAAAATCTAACGCTGCTGAAAACCCTAAACCCTAAACCCTGAACGCCTAAACCCTAAACCCTAAACCCGAAACCCTCAAAGTCCCCGCCAGCCTCAGAGAGCTTGTGCCCCCCGGCCAGCTCATTCCAGTGACTGTAGTGCGCGGCAAGCTCCTAAAGATCCGAGGTTTAGGGTTTAGGGTTTAGGGTTTCGGGTTTAGGGTTTAGGGTTTAGGGTTTAGGGTTTAGGGTTTAGGGTTTAGGGTTTAGGGTTTAGGGTTTAGGGTTTAGGGTTTAGGGTTTAGGGCTGACGCTTCTGTCCTCCAGGCGGTGAGCGATGCAGCTGAGCACGTCATCCGCAACCAGCGCCACGACCATCGAGGAGTCCACCTAAACCCTAAACCCTAAACCCCAAACCCCAGGCCCTAAGCCCTTAACCGCCGTTTGCGGCCTTGGGTCGGTTGAGGGGTTCATGATATTTCACCTTGGACCCCCAAGGTTGTAACACTTGGATTTGGGGACCCTGCTTACAGATCATTAAGGTACAAGGCTTAGTATAAGGGCCATAGTAGGAGCATGTTCAGGGGAACCTCTTGGGCTTGGGATACAACCTGAGGGGTACGAGCCTTAATCCCTTGAGGGATCGGGCTGAGGGTAGCAAATAAACCCTAGAAACCTATCTAGTGTGGAGGTCAGGTGCGGTATGCAGAGTTTAGGGTTTAGGGTTTAGGGCTTAAGGTTTAGGGTTTAGGGTTTAGGGTTCAGGGTTTAGGGTTTAGGGTTTAAGGTACTATTCTTCAACACTCTTTGTGATCACCGAAATAACCAGAAGCTTCGGGCACGAGCCCCAAACAGAAAAGTAACCTACACCCCATACCCTTCGCCCTGAACCCAAACGAACAGAAGGTTTTTGTCTTTCGACCCCTCAACCAAAAGGCCCCTCCTCCCTCAGTACTCAAGGCCTCAGCCCTGAACTGACTAAACCCTAAACCCTAAACCCTAGATTGTTTGTTGAGGGGAGAGGGGGGGGGGGTCCTTGGTACTTAAAGTCAGCACAGCATGAGGACTTGGGGATGCGCGGATTTCGGGCCTAAGGTGTAGAGGTTTAGGGTTTAGGGTTTAGGGTTTAGGGTTCAGGGTTCATGGTTCATGGGCTTTTGGGCTGTGAGCCCTCTGGCCTCCACGGCGAAGAGCACCATGTGCAGCCTAAGTATGTTGATTGGAAGGCAGAGCCATTCTCATGCCTAAGCCCTTACCAGACCCTAAACCCTAAACCCTAAACCCGAAACCCTAAACCCGAAACCCTATACCCTAAACCCGAAACCCTAAACCCGAAACCCTATACCCTAAACCCGAAACCCTAAACCCGAAACCCGAAACCCGAAACACTAAACCCGAAACCCTAAACTTGACCCTATTTGAAGCCAGGGGCCTCTTTTGCAGCACACTCACATTGGGCTCGGCTGCCGTCTATAGTGTACTACCCTAACCCCTACTAGACCCTAAAACCCTAAGCCCTAAACCCGAAACCCGAAACCCTGCGAAATAGTTGAACCTCAAATTTTCGGACCCGGCCGGAACCGTGGCGTCTTGGTGCTTGGTTTTAGTTCTTGGCTCTCTTCTCTCGGCCTGCTTGTTTTGTCTCTTGGGGCGCGAAGCCGCGCAACCTTTTTCTTGCGAAAGGTAGGGTTCAAGGTTCGGGGTTTAGGGTTTAGGGTTTAGGGTTTAGGGTTTAGGTTTAGGGTTTAGGGTTTAGGGTTTAGGGTTTAGGGTATAGGGTTTAGGGTTTAGGGTTTAGGGTTTAGGGTTTAGGGTTTAGGGTTTAGGGTTTAGGGTTTAGGCTTTAGGGTTTAGGGTTTAGGGTTTAGGGTTTAGGGTTTAGGGTTTAGGGTTTAGGGTTTAGGGTTTAGGGTTCAGGGCTCGGGGTTCAGGGTTGAGGGAGTATGACGGCCTGCCATACCTAAGACGCCCGAGCTGAAGAACCAATCAACCCTCAACCCTCAACCCTAAACTCTCAACCCTCAACCCTAAACCCTAAAACCTAAACCCTAAACCCTAAAACCTAAACCCTAAACCCTCAACCCTCAACCCTCAACCCTAAACCCTCAACCCTAAACCCTCAACCCTAAACCCTAAACCCTAAACCCTAAACCAAACCCTGAACCCTATGTGGGTCGCTGTCAGAGTCGTAAAAACTCCGTCGAAGCGGCATGGCGTCCAAGGAATCCGCCGGCTGCGTGCCGGCGTGCACACCGAGGTCGGGGTCCAGCAGCTTCTTCCTGTGCACCTGGAAAAAGGTGGCTTGGGGTTTAGGGGTTAGGGGTTAGGGGTTAGGGTTTAGGGTTTAGGGTTTCGGGTTTAGGGTTTCAGGTTTAGGGTTTCGGGTTTAGGGTTTAGGGCTTAGGGTTTAGGGTTTAGGGTTTAGGGTTTAGGGTTTAGGGTTTAGGGTTTAGGGTTTAGGGTTTAGGGTTTAGGGTTTAGGGTTTAGGGTTTAGGGTTTAGGGTTTAGGGTTTAGGGGTTAGGGGTTAGGGGTTTGGGTTTAGGGTTTAGGGTTTAGGGTTTAGGGTTTAGGGTTTAGGGTTTAGGGTTTAGGGTTTAGGGTTTAGGGTTTAGGGTTTAGGGTTTAGGGTTTAGGGTTTAGGGTTTAGGGTTTAGGGTTTAGGGTTTAGGGTTTAGAGTTTAGGGTGCATGGCTTAGGGTTGAGGGTTGAGGGTTTAGGAATTAAGGGCTTGATGGCTTGAGGCTGCTTCAGGGAGCTAGGGGCTCGAAGAGGAAATTGACAGCGAGAGAGAGAGAGAGAGAGAGAGAGAGAGGGGGAGCAGAAAGAGAGAGGGAGGGAGAGAGAGAGGTGCCTAAGCCCAAACAAACCCTAAACCCTAAACCCTAAACCCTAAACCCTAAACCCTAAACCCTAAACAATTTGCATCCTTATGTTTTTAGTGAACCAATGGTTTCCTAAACCACTAACCAACTGGAAGATTCTCTCCCGGGCCATCCTGAAGGACCCCAGCCAGAGAAGCTTTAGGGTTTGGGGTTTAGGGTTTAGGGTTTAGGGCTTAGGGTTTAGGGTTTAGGGTTTAGGGTTTAGGGTTTAGGGGTTAGGGTTTACGGGGCATACCACTCCTCCAAAGCCCTGAACCTTCCCACACCCCAACACCCGAGCAGTTAGGCCCGAACACCCAGAACCCCCCAAAAAACAGCCCCACCCTAAGCTCTCAAGCCCGAAGCACAAAGCCCAAAAGCCCTAAATCCTAAACCCTAAACCCTAAACCCGAAACCTACACCGAGCGCCTTGAACCACCCCACCAAGCGTTCGCCCACGCCGAGCCCGCGCCAGCGGGTCCACAAATTAGAGGAGATTGAGGACCTGGGAGTCAACCGAAACCCTAGGGTTTAAGGTTTAGGGTTTAGGGTTTAGGGTTTAGGGTTTAGGGTTTAGGGTTTAGGGTTTAGGGTTTAGGGTTTAGGGTTTAGGGTTTAGGTACCCCTTTTTGTTCGAAACCCCATGTGGGTTCAGATGCTCCTGACAGTGTTCACTGCGAGGCTTGCAGAAATCTCTTGAAGCACTTGCTGACCAACCACGGCCTTTGCTTCTAAATTGGGTTTAGGGCTTAGGCTTTAGGGCTCAGGGTTTAGGGTTTAGGGTTTAGGGTTTCGGGTTTAGGGATTGGGGTTTGGGGGTTAGGGTTTAGGGTTTAGCGTTAGTTCGGGTTTAGGGGACAGCGGGTTCTGGCACGGATACATACAAAGCCCTTGCACTTCCCCTGCGACCAAAGATTGCTTAAGCTTAGGCTGCTGGGGGTTTCCCAAATTAGGGATACTCTATTGGGGTCCTGCTTATACGGGAGTCCAATTATTTGGGGGCTCTATTAGGGATCCCTCATTTTCGTAAACCCCGAACTGGACCCTTAATTCGTAAACCCTAGACCCTAGACCCTAGACCCTAGACCCTAGACCCTAGACCCTAGACCCTAGACTCTAGACCCTAGACCCTAGACCCTAGACCCTAGACCCTAGACCCAGAACAGCATTGCTCAAGCAAATTGCTGCAAGAGCCCCGCGATGAGGTCAGCGGCCACCTGCGTGCCATCTGTCCGCTCACCCCGAACCTAAGTGACCTAAGCTAAACCCTAAACCCTAAACCCTAAACCCTGAACCCAAAAAACCTAAGCCCTAAACCCTGAACCCACAAACCCTTAGCCCTAAACCCTGAACCCTGAACCCTCGGCGCCCAAACCCTACACACGGTCCGGGACCCCACTGAATGCAAGGCCGATTGCACACAGCTTGTGCGCCTGGGGATTAGGGTTTAGGGTTTTGGGTTTAGGGTTTAGGGTTTAGGGTTTAGGGTTTAGGGTTTAGAGTTTAGAGGTTAGGGTCAGGGTCTCGCGTCAAGAAGAAGCCTTTCCAGAACCTCAACCACACGCCGCTGCAACCCTGCTGAAGCCTCGCCCCGAACCTGTAGACCCGTCCGTATACCAACCCGTGAATCCAAGAGCCTCATACACTCTACCCTGAAACCCTAACCCTAAACCCTAAACCCTTAACCCTAAACCCGAAACCCTAAACCCTAAACCCTAAAGCCCCAAACCCGCCTTGGAAAGCTCAGGAGGCTTCCTCCCATCCACCAGGAGCTCCATGAGGTATCGGTCGAGGTCTGGAATCCTTGGCGTCATGTAAGGGTAGCTACATGGCCCCTTCGTATGAGCCCTTAACAGGGTCCCCCTCACATACCCCTCATATACCCTCTACAAATTAAGGGCCCATACATCCCTAAACCCGAAACCCTAAACCCTAAACCCTAAACCCTAAACCCTAAACCCTAATTAGGGACCATATTCAGGGCCCATGAAAGCCACCCTCAGACGACACGGCTCAACTAGGCGATTCGGGCTCTCCAGAGACCCCAAACCCTACACCCTTAGAGTTTAGGGTTTGGGGTTTAGGGCTTAGGGTTTCGGGTTTAGGGTTTGGGGTTTAGGGTTTCGGGTTTAGGGTTTAGGGCCAGTCTGGGCTAAAGCAGATGCAACCCGCAGCTTGAACCCTAACCCCGAAACCTAAAGCCCTAAACACGAAACCCGAAGCATTCACTGAGCCTCGCAGTGCCAGGGGTGGTGGTAAGGGACGTGGAGGTTGAAACTTTTCGTTTAGGCTTTGAGTGTTCAAGCTTTGGGTCTTCGGGTCTTCGGGTTTCGGGTTTAGGGTTTAGGGTTTGGGGTTTGGGGTTTAGGGTTTAGGGTTTAGGGTTCAAGGGGAGGGGGGAAGAGAATTTTCGCATGTTCACGTTGACAGCTGCATCCTTGCGCTCAGGCGCATGTACTGAACCCCTCAACCCGAATAAATCATAAGCCCTAAAGCCCTAAAACCCTAAACGCTAACCCCCCCCCCCCTAAAGCCCTCAACCTAAATAGGGTTTAGGATTTAGGGTCTTCGGGTTTAGATAGTGATGCTGTATTTGGTTCAGATAGGGTGGTACACGAGGTTTGCACAGGGTCTAGCTGTTTGAGGTGTATGGCACAGATAGGGTTCAGTGTGGCTTGGTGTGGGGTTTAGGGGTGTAGAATATGGGGTTCGGTATGGGGTGATTTACTAGTGGATTAGGGCTTAACTCAGGAAAGCTAACATGCCTTAAAAAAGCCGCCAGCCGAGGCCCGAAACTCTCTCACCTCCACTCAGAACATTCCTGGAAGCCCTAACCCTCAACCCTACTTGCGTGACGAAGCCCCATACCCTAAACCCTAAACCCTAAACTCTAAGCCCTACACCCTAAACCCTTCACCCTGAACCCAAAAGCCCTATAAGCCCCAGCCGCCTACTTGGGCGGGTGGGGGGGAGATAACATTCCCAAAGCCGACCCCCTGAAAGATCCACCTGTGGGGCAGGGAGCCTCATCTGATGGACCAGCAGCTCATATCTCGCAGTTTAGGGTTTAGGGTTTGGGGTTTGGGGTTTAGGGCTTAGGGTTTGGGGTGTTTAAGAATCTCAGCGGCCGGAACCTTAAAACACTAGTATATATATATATTTATTTTTTTTATTTTTTTTTGTGGGGGGGGGGTATTATAATATAAATGTATAGGGCCCACAAGGAATACGATCACTAATTATTCCGACCAAGAAGCAGAACATTTCGTGGGTCGCGGGGGGCGGGGGGGGGGGGAGGCGGAGGGGGGGGGGGGGGGGGAGGCGGGGGAGGCGGAGGGGGGGGGGGGGGGGGAGGGTTCTTTCGGGTTTTGGGTGCTTCGTGGGGGTTAGTGTTTAGGGTTTGGGGTGCTTTGTGGGCTTAGCGGTGTAGGGCTTCGTGTGTAGGGTTTTGGGGTGCTTCGTGTGCTTGCAGGGGTTTGGGATTTGGGGCTCCTTGGTTTTGGGACCAGGACAAGCCACTCAGAACCGAAAACAATCCATGGGGGCAAGGGAGGCGGGGGGGGTGGTCTTTTGATTTTTTCAACAATCGCCTCTCTACTTTGGGCGACTCTCTTCATTCGCGGCAAACCCACTTGAGAGTTTAGGGTTTGGGGTTTAGGGTTTAGGGTTTAGGGTTTGGGGTTTAGGGTTTGGGGTTTGGGGTTTGGGGTTTGGGGGTTGGGGTTTAGGGTTTGGGGTTTGGGGTTTGGGGTTTAGGGTTTGGGGTTTGGGGTTTGGGGTGTGGGGACCCTCAGCCCCCCAAACCTTCAAGCCCGAACCTTCGCACAAAGACCCCCAGCCTCAGACAGTGGTGGAGGGTCCGCAAAGAAATCTCCCACAGCGCCTCGGCTTGATTCTCAGGGCTCTGGGGTTCCCAAGGCTCTGGAAGGTGTGGGGTTTAGGGTTTAGGGTTTAGGGTTTAGGGTTTAGGGTTTAGGGTTTAGGGTTTAGGGTTTAGGGTTTAGGGTTTAGGGTTTAGGGTTTAGGGTTTAGGGTTTAGGGTTTAGGGTTTAGGGTTTAGGGTTAGTGTTTAGGGTTTAGGGTTTAGGGTTTAGGGTTTAGGGTTTAGGGTTTAGGGTTTAGGGTTTAGGGTTTAGGGTTTAGGGTTTAGGGTTTAGGGTTTAGGGTTTAGGGTTTAGGGTTTAGGGTTTAGGCCTTGGAAGGTTTGGACCGAGGCTTTTTAGGCCTCACGGGGTGTAGGGTTGTTGCTTGGGGTGGAAGGTTTAGGGCTCTAAAACCACGTTACAGCAGAAGAGTACCCAAAACCCTAAACCCTAAACCCTAAACCCTAAACCCTAAACCCTAAACCCTAAACCCTAAACCCTAAACCCTAAACCCTAAACACTTCTTTTCCGGGTCGTTCCTTTGGGGTCTCGGGTTAGGGGGTAGGGGGGGTAGGGTTTCGAGTTTTGACCCTACACCCTAAACCCTAAATCCTAAACCCTAAACCCTAAACCCTAAAACCTAAACCCTAAACCCTAAACCCTAAACCCTAAACCCTAAACCCTAAACCCTAAACCCTAAACCCTAAACCCTATTGCTTTCCGGGGCTTCAGGATGTTGGGGCGGCCCAGGCACGTCTGCATGCTGGCGAAGGAGAGGCTCGCTGGGGCTTTCATCTGCCATACTCTGCCTTTGAGGTGTAGGGTTTAGGGTTTAGGGTTTAGGGTTTAAGGTTTAGGGTTTAAGGTTTAGGATTTAGGGTTTAGGGCCTTGCCTTTTCATGGCTTCGGGTTGAGGGTTTAGGGTCCAATGGCCAAAAACAACGCTTATATTAGGCTTATGTTCTCTTTTACCCCCTCCCCCCCCTCCCTGAACATGGGAGCCGAAGATTTGAATGAAAGTTGAAACTTAGACTGCGGCAGGACGGAAGTGCGACCTCCACCTCGTAAGCAAGCTTGAGGCCGCTTTGTGAAAGCGCAACTCAGGGTTTAGGGTTTAGGGTTTCGGGTTAGGGTTTAGGGTTGCTCTTTTTAAGACTTGCATGGGGAGGGGGTGCTTTTTTATAAGGAAATCCTACTATTTGGGGGTCGATTTTAGGGGTCCCCTATTTTCGTAAACCCCCATCATGAGAGGTGACTTTCTTGGCCTACCCCGCTACTCCGCGGTGCTGTCATCGTCCCTGAACTCGCTGTAGCTAACCAGGGGGCTTGAAACTATAGTCTCTTGAGGTATGTATGAACAACAACTTAAAAAACTGGGGCTTAGGGTTTAGGGCTCAGGGTTTACCAGATATATGGTTTAGGGTTTAGGGATTACCAAATATAACCCTAAACCCTAAACCCTAAACCCTACATCCTGAACCCACGCTCCCAGGGTACGCATAGCCGGCTGCGCGAACCATGCGGGGAAGGATCCTCGGCTTTCTGAGTAGGCAGCGGGCAGCAACCCAGATGCAGGGTGGCTAAACAATTCGGGTTCCTATATCTATCTATCTATCTATGTATCTATCTATCTATCTATCTATCATATATATATATATATATGTTATAAGATAATATCATATCATATCATAACATATATAATACAATATATATATATATGTATACATATATATATATATATTGAAACAGGAAAAATGGAGATGCAAACAACAACTTGTGTGGCTGTAATCCCGAACCGCTGGCCCTCCCCTCCACCCCAGAAGAGAAACAGCAAAACAAGAACAAACTGAAAGGCAGAGGAAAACAGAAGAAAAAAACAACCCCCCCCCCCCCCCCCCCCCCCCCCAACCTCTCACTCCCCCAACTTGAAAGAAAGTGGTGGAAAAAACAAGAAAGAAAAAGGGGGGAAAAAATGATATCATTTTTGTGTGTCCTTTTTTTATTTTCTTATTCCAGTTAACTTATGTATATCTAGATTTATGTTCTCTATAAAAGCCGGGGATCTCCAGATCGGACCAGAGTTCGGGCGCGCAGGCGCCCATGGTGCAGAAGTACATGGACTCGAAGGCCCGGATCTGGATGTCCGGGGTGTAGGCCTTCGAGGAGGGTTTAGGGGTTTAGGGTTCAGGGTTTAGGGTTTAGGGTTTGGGGTTTAGGGTTTGGGGTTTGGGGTTTAGGGTTTAGGGTTTAGGGTTTGGGGTTTGGGGTCTAGGGTTTAGGGTTTAGGGTTTGGGGTTTGGGGTTTGGGGTTTAGGGTTTGGGGTTTAGGGTTTGGGGTTTGGGGTTTAGGGTTTGGGGTTTGGGGTTTAGGGTTTAGGGTTTACGGTTCTTTGTTTTCATTTTTTTTTTTTTTTTGGGGGGGGGGGGGTTAGGGCTTGGAGTTTAGGGTTTAGGCTTTGGGGTTTGGGGTTTGTGGCTTGGGGTTTAGGGTTTGGGGTTTAGGGTGTTTGGGATTTGGGGCTTGGGCTTTAGGGTTTTTGGGTTTAAGGTTTGGGGCTTGGGGTTCAGGGTTTTTGGGATTTGGGGGGGCTTGGGGCGTGAGACTTAAAAAGGCTTCAAAGCAGGAACTGCGACGTTTTTCGGCCCCATGAACAGCCCTGACTCCCAATGATCGACACCTTTTCAGGGTGCCACAACCCCTAAACCTCTAGACCCCTGAAACCCTAAACCCTACACACTAAACCCTAAACCCTAAACTCTAAACCCCAAACCCAAAACCCACCGACCATCCTCGCAGGAGCGCCTCCATGTAGCTCGTTGCGAGCACAAGAATTTCGCGGCTGAGGAACTTCCGCCTTCGTGTACAGGGTTTAGGGTTTAGGGTTGAGGGTTTAGGGTTTAGGGTTTAGGGGTTAGGGTTTAAGGGGGTTAAGGGGGTTTAGGGGGTTTAGGGGTTTAGGGAGTTTAGGGGGTTTAGGGGGTTTAGGGGGTTTAGGGGGTTTAGGGGGTTTAGGGGGTTTGGGGGGTTTAGGGGGTTTAGGGGGTTTAGGGGGTTTAGGGTGTTTTGGGGTTTTGGGGTTCTGGGTGCTGGGGTCTGGGGTTCTGGGGTTCTGGGGTTCTGGGGTTCTGGGGTTCTGGGGTTCTGGGGGTTTGGGGTTGTCAACAATGGACCAACTTCTAACTCCGCCCCCCCCCACCCCCCCGCACCCCGCAACAAGTTCACTACTGGCCCACCCTCCACCAAAACATCTAAGCTGTAATCATGGCGCTTGGGGAGGGGGGAGGGTTCCACCTGAAACATTTAAAATTGTAGTTTGGCACATGGGGTTAACTATACCGCCACCACCCTATACCCTTATAGTAGTCCACATACCCCAAGCCCACATACCAGAACCTCATAGATAGCGAGTTGCGGAAAGCACTGCTCCAATACAACTGATATATAAAGGCACAGTTCACGATACTATCTCATGTAGCATCAACTATGCACGGGCACATCGCTACTCTCCTCTCGCAGGTCCACTCGCTGCTTCAGGACACACAGGTTACGTGGGGGGGGGGGGGGGGGATTGATTGTTTCATTTTCAAGTGTTGGGCTCCTGAATCTCCCTAAACCCTAAACCCTATACCCTAAACCCTAAACCCCTGGCAAAACCCATGCCATGGACCGGGAACTTGTATATCCCTTGTTGGGCGAGAGATCAAGGTCGCCAATAGTTGCTAAATCTGTTGCTACTCCTGCCTGCTGGGAATTAGATAAACCACCAATGGTTTAGGGTTTAGGGTTTAAGGGGTTTAAGGGTTTGCGGGTTTAGGGTTTAGGGTTCAGGGTTTATATAAGGGTTACTCGAAAGCTGACACAAACCCTAAACCCTCAACCCTAAACCCTGAACTCCAAAAGCAGCCCGAAGTCCTCAAACCTGAGCCCTGAACCCTAAACCCTAAACCCTGAACCGTAAACCCTAAACCCTAAACCCTAAACCCTAAACCCTAAACCCTAAGCAGCCCCAAACCCCGTCGGATGGCCTGTGCTCGTTGGGTGCCTGCGACATGCCGTGAAGGATCTCAATCAGCGCCCGCTTTGAGACCATGGCATCCTCTCGGCAACCCTCAAGCTGGGGTTTAGGGTTTAGGGTTTAGGGTGTAGGGTTTAGGGCTTAGGGCTTAGGGCTTAGGGTTTAGGGTTTACGGTTTAGGGTTTAGGGTTTAGGGTTTAGGCTTTAGGGTTTAGGGTTTAGGGTTTAGGGTTTAGGGTTTAGGGTTTAGGGTTTAGGGTTTAGGGTTTAGGGTTTAGGGTTTAGGGTTTAGGGTTTAGGGTTTAGGGTTTAGGGTTTAGGGTTTCGGGCTCAGGGTTTGCTTCGGGTGTGGGGTTGGTTTTCGGGTTTAGGGTTTAGGGCTTGAATAAGTTGTTTCAGGGCTTGGGGGCTCCGGCTATTGCACAAGCCCTAGAGCCTCCCAAAACCCTAAAACACTAAACCCAAAACCTCTTAAACCCTAAACCGTGAGGGTTACCCTAAACCCTCAACCCTAAACCCTAAACCCCCTGAACCCTAAACCCCCTAAACGCTAAATCCCTCAACTCGCAACCAACCCAATTCCCATCCGGTCCTCTTCCGCGGAGATGCGGCTGACGAACATGAGCATTCCACGATCAGGCTTCACCTGCACCCAAGATAGTATGATAATGAGGGTTTAGGGTTTAGGTTTTAGGTTTTAGGGTTTAGGGTTTAGGGTTTAGGGGTTTAGGGTTTAGGGTTTAGTGTTTAGGGTTTAGGGTTTAGGGTTTAGGGTTTCGGGTTTCGGGTTTCGGGTTTAGGGTTTAGGGTTTAGGGTTTGGGGCTATGGTGAGTTCTCTACGTGATGGTCCCTTTTGGGGCACCCTTTTACGGAGTCGCGCTTTAGGACGTCGACGACCCAAGCTTCGCCGCCCGCGGGGGTCAAACCCACTCAGAACCGGCCAAGGAATCAAAAAGTTGAAAGGGGCGGTGGGGGAAGGAGGGCCCTACTCTGGCTCCGGGAAGGGCGGGTGAGACCTGCGATTGCTCTGAAACCCAGCTACAGGGGCTCCCAAGAGGGGTTTTTAGGTTCTTTGTGTGCGTTTTAAAGAGGGTTTGGGGTTTACGGTTTAGGTTTAGGGTTTAGGGTTTAGGGTGCCGCTTTGGGGTTTAGGGTTGGGTACCCCCCCTTATACTAACAGTCCTTAGCAGGGATGCTGGATGATTATAGTTCCCCCCAATTAGAATCCCAATGAAGGACTGTCAGGCTCAACAAACGGGGGAAAGGTTTGTTCTCAGGGTTTAGGGCCCTAAGAGCGTTAGGGTTCAGGGTCCTTAGGGCCTGAGAGGGTTGGGGGGCTGCTCGTTCTGCACGGCGCTGAGCAGCTAGACTTGGTCAGACGCCCAAAGCCCCAAGACCTCGTCGCTCAGCGCCAAACCTTAGAACCCAAATCCATCAACCTGAAACCCTAAACCCTAAACCCTAAACCCCCAAATCTCCAAGCCCTGAACGCCAAACTGAGCCCCAAACTGCGCAGGTTCTTCACATCCCCCACACACCTCCTCTCGACTCATGCTCGTGTAGTAGAGGTTGGCACAGCCTCATTGTCGCGCACTTGGAGGTTCATGGTACTTACTAACCAATCAGAACTGTACTTGTAACCATCTCGGGGCACTTCAGGGGCTTATAAGGTGGGTTAGAAGTACAGTGATAGTTGGTTAAGAAGTACCCCTAACGCCCAAACCCTAAACCCAAACCCTAAACCCTACTGTCAACCCCTAAGCCTAAAGTACAGCTATACTTAGTTAATATCTACCCTGAACCTCCAAGCACCGGCTTCAGGGTCGAGGGGTCTTTAGCAGGCTCGGGCTTCCAGGGCTTCATGGGTTTGGGGTTTAGGGTTATAGGGTTTAGGGTTGAGGGTTGAGGGTTGAGGGTTCAGGGTTCAGGGTTGAGGGCTTAGGGTTGTTGTGTAGGAGCTTTGGCTGAGCGTTCAGCAGGCAGAGGGCTGCAGGAGACGCCATGAGAGCAGGGGTTTAGGTTTGGGGTCTTGGGTTTGGGGTTCGGGGTCGAGGGGTTTAGGCTTTGGGGTTTAGGTTTGGGGTTTTGGGTTTGGGGTTCAGGGTCGGGGGGTGTAGGTTTTGCGGTTTAGGTCTTGGGGCTTAGGGTTTGGGGTTTAGGGATTGAACCGTGAGGAATTGCAACCTGGAAACCCTAAATGCTGCAACCCTAAACATGTAAATTGAGCCGGCACCTCCTACAATGTCGAAGGTTCCAGTGCACATTTGACATTTACACAGGCCCGGAAATGCATAACCTACAATGCTACCCCCCAAACCCCAAACCCTCTATCAAGCTGAAGCTTTAACGATGTAACCTTGTGCCTCCAATGACATGGCACGATTCACAATAGCAACTCTCGTTGCCTTGGGTTTAGGACTGAGGCCTACGCTCAGCAAAGTTAGGAACCCTAGATACGCCCAGTAGCCGAAACCCTAAAACCTACCCCCCCCCCCCCCCCCCCCCCCCCCCCCCCCCCCCCCCCCCGCCCCACCCCCACAGAGCAGAAACAAAACACAAGCAAATGCCTTCTTGTCACGCCGACAGCAGGGGGACTCTTACCAAGGGGTTAGAGTGGGGACGCGGGTGCCACAGCCTACAGCAACGCGGATGTGAGTTCCTGTGAATCTCCCGGAAACTCGACACCCTGGCTGATGTTCATCCCTAAACCCTAAACCCTAAAAACCCTAATTAAACCCTAAACAATAAACCCTAAACCCTAAACCCTAAACCCTTTACCCTAAACTCTAAACCCTAAACCCTAAACCCTAAACCCTAAGCAGCCCAGCAGCACATGATGTACTTGTGGAGCGAGGCATCCGTCTTCTGGCAGTTCTGGAAGTAGTTGGCCATGGCATGAAAGATGCGACCTGGGGGGCTCCCCCCGAACCCAGGCTTTAGGGTTTAGGATTTAGGTTTAGGGTTTAGGGTTTAAAAAGGGTTTAGGGTTTAGGGTTTAGGGTTTAGGGCTTAGAGTTCTGTAGGGTCTGAGTTCAGGGTTTCGGGTTTCGGGTGCAGAGTTCAGGGATTGGGGAGACTTGAAGACACCCGAAGCTACGAGGAGTTGAAGCCCTACACCCGAAATGCTGGATAGACATTCGTCTGTAAGGTTGGTAAACCCCCCCCCCTCCCCCAAACCACCTACTAGACCCGAAACCCCAACCCACCCCAAAACACTCCTGGTTACGCCGACAGGGAAGATACTAGATTGGGGTTGCGTCCTGAACGCTCCTATGCCCTGATTCTACATAGTTCGATGATGATCCGCCTTGTGATTGTGGTTGTTGTTGCTGGTGCTGCTTGCTGTTCTTGCCGCTGTGTTTAGGGTTTCTTTCTGTTCCCATGCAGAAAAACTTCCTTAGACCCAAGCCCCAAACCCCCAAAACCCACAAACAAAAAAGCTCTAAAGCCCCCAAAAAGCAACCAAGCGATTCCCTAAACCCTAAACCCTAAACCCTAAACCCTGAACCCTGAACCCTGAACCCTGAACCCTGAACCCCGGCCTGACACGGCCCGCTCCTGACAGAGACAGGTCAAGGTCGAGAAGATCAGCCGCCGCAGCGAAGGCGACGTGGCATCGGCCGGCATGACCTCGCAATGTGAGAAACATTTGTTTGGGAACAAGATGTGATGATTTGGGGTTTAGGGTTTAGGGTTTAGGGTTTAGGGTTTAGGGTTTAGGGTTTAGGGTTTAGGGTTTAGGGTTTAGGGTTTAGGGTTTAGGGTTTAGGGTTTAGGGCTGTAGACCCTAAACCCTGAACCCTAAACCCCAACCCCTAGACCCCCAAAACCCCAGACCCCTAAGTCCCCCGAAAAACCCCCCCCCCCCCCCCCCTGCCTCCAAGAGAACCATGACCCTAAACCCTAAACCCTAAACCCTAAACCCCTGCCTCCAAGAGAACCATGAGAATGCGCGGCTCGCTGTGGAGGAGTTCCAGGTTGCTGGCCTGTTCGCACGGCGGCATGCGGACTGGATTTTTCCGGGTTTAGGGTTTCGGGTTTACGGTTGAGGGCTTAGGGCTTAGGGCTTGGGATTTTGGGGTTTAGGGCCTAGGGCTTGGGGTTTGGGGTTTAGGGCTTAGGGCTTAGGGCTTAGGGTTTGGGGTTAGGGTTTAGGGTGTAGGGCTTAGGGTTTAGGGTTTAGGGTTTCGGGTTTAGGGTTTAGGCGCTTGAGGGCCAAGAGCCCAATTTGAACCTAAACTCTGAGCCCTAAACCCTAAACCCTAAACCCTAAACCCTGAAGCCAGGGGCCTGCACTGCCAAGTTGTGCACCACGAGCACTGCAAGGTTGAAGCACTCCTGGGTTGGGGGTTTAGGGTTTAGGGTTTAGGGTTTGGGGTTCAGGGTTTAGGGTTTAGGGTTTAGGGTTTTGGGTTTAGGGTTTAGGGCTTAGGCTTAGGACTTAGGGCTTAAGATTGAGGGTTTAGGGCTGAGGACGGAGTGTCTCGGGCTTGGGATTGAGGGCTTAGGGCTTACTTGACGGTTCATGGGTACTTTGAAGAGACGCATAAGTAGGGTAACTATGGTTAGAACCTTACTTAGGGGACTTATAACCCTGCGTTTCAGTACTTGAACCTTCAAGTAGGGCTTAGAGTTTAGGGTTTAGGTTTAATTTGGATCGAGGTTGAGGGTTTAGGGAACCCTAAACCTGGGGACTTTCAGGGTGTCTACCAGAGTCTACCCAGAGGATCCACTCATCACCGGCACGCTTCGTGTATTGTGATGCTGGCTGAGACAGACCTCTGAAACGGCGCGTGTGCTTACTTTGCTCTTGTTGATCCTAAACCCTAAACCCTAAACCCGAAAGCTTCGGGCCTTGTGGTGGAACCCCTGTGCAGCTAAGATTTAGCTCTGCCACGTTCACTCAGCTGAATCAAAATAGGTCCGCATGAATTCTGAAACCGAAGCCGCGTCCAAGTAGGACAACCTTTGCTTGTTCAACCCTAAAACCCTGAACCCACAAGACTGTCCAAGAGTCCAGATATTGCGCAGAATCGCCATAGGCCGAAACCTCCGGCAGGGGCCCCAGAACACACATCAATACCTTGTCTAAAAATAACCTTATGTTCCAGCCAACCACCCAGCGATGATCTGGGACCACCCCGGCCCCACCCCTCCCCCCCCCCTTCCCCGCGCCGCGCCCACCCCAGAATCTTGCACGGCTACTGTTGTCGGACACATTTGTTCACGAAGTTATCGAGCATGTTTTGCAAGAATCTGTTCTCGGACATACTTATTGGACATATTTTCAAGAAGATGCTATCGAGCAGATGCTTGCAACACTATGAAGGCACAGTACTTACTGCTCAAAAACCATGCTTTAGGGGCGATTTCAAAATGACGCAGCCACACCTTTCTTGGGTTTAGGGTTTAGGGTTTAGGGTTTAGGGTTTAGGGTTTAGGGTCTAGGGTTAGGGTTTAGGTTTAGGGTTGATTGATTGATTAAATTGTTTTCATGCCTGCTGCTTGGTTAGAATCGCGTTTCGAAGATTTAGGCCACGCTGGGGGGTAGCCTCGGCCCTTTTCGGCTTTCGGGCCCAGTCAAGCCGGATTTGAGAAACAGCGTTCGAACCTGCGAGTTTTAGAAACGTCCCGGAAGCCAGAATCCTAAGTCCTACACCCTACATCCTAAATCCCGTGACCCTACATCCCTAAATCTCCTAAACCCTAAACTCAGGAACTCTCAACAAAAATTGTCCTTACATCAGCGGAAACGTTCCGTTATAATCTCCTTGAACAAGTCATCATCAAAGGGGAGACCCTAAACCCTAGACCCTAAACCCTACACCTTAAACCCTAAACCCTAAACCCTAGACTACCCTAGCTCTTGACACACCCCAGGGCGGCCTTGGACACCTCTTCCACACGGATGTTCCCCACAATCTTCATGCTGCCCTCGTCGAGGACTTCCTGCAGCCACGTTTTGTACTAGACCCAGGAAACCCTAAACCCTAAACCCTAAACCCTAAACCCTAAACCCTTTGGCCCCGAAAGAGACCTCGACATCCTCCTTCTACGCTTGGGGCTTGGGGCTTAGGGTTCAGGGTTGCTTAGGGTTTAGGGTTTAGGGTTTAGGGTCTAGGGTTTAGGGTTTAGGGTTTAGGGTTTAGGGTTTGGGGTTTGGGGTTTAGGGTTTAGGGTTTGGGGTTTGGGGTTTAGGGTTTAGGGTTTAGGGTTTAGGGTTTAGGGTTTGGGGTTTAGGGTTTAGGGTTTGGGGTTTGGTGTTTGGGGTTTGGGGTTTGGGGTTTGGGGTTTGGGGTTCGGGGCTTGGGGCTTGGGGCTTGGGGTTTGGGGCTTGGGGCCCGATTCACGAATAAGTATCTTGCGCGCAACTTGCGCTAGAACTGTATAGGGTGTCCAAGAAGGGCAAACTTGGTGCTTGCTTTGCAGGCCGTGCGAAGCAACGCTGCTTCCCAAAAAACTTGAAGCTTGCGCAGCCGAGGCAAGTACCTCGACGCAGGACCCCATACCCCAAAACACCAAACACTGCCCTAAACCCTAAACCCTAAACCCTAAACCCTAAACCCTAAACCCTAAACCCTAAACCCTAAACCCTAAATCGAGACCTACAGGCTCCCATCTCTTGCACTTGCCTCGACTGGCTCCGGCTTCCGCCGGAAGAGCAGCTTGAGAGGTCGCGCTTCGAACATCGGGGCAATGTCACCTTGGAGGGTTTATAGGGTTTATAGGGTTTATAGGGTTTATAGGGTTTATAGGGTTTATAGGGTTTATAGGGTTTATAGGGTTTATAGGGTTTATAGCCTTTATGAAGCTGTTTTTGAGTTCGGCTGGGGTCCGGGGGTGTAGGGTTTGTCTAGTGCCAGCGTGGATGGGGAGGAGGGGGTGCCCAGAGGTAGGCTGAAGGCACTTGACAGAAAAGCTCTGCGAATTCCTCTCAGCCTTAAACCCAAGGCCCGAAACCCCAAGCCTTGCAAACCTAGCAAACCTGAAGCCCCTAACGCCCGAAACCCCTAAACCCTAAACCCTAGACCCTAAACCCTAAACCCTAAACCCTAAACCCCAAAACATCCAGCATCTCAGATGGCAACTCTTTTTCCCTCAGCCATAGGCCCAGGCAGTGCTCCACCCTAGCAACACAAAAAGCCCTGAGGCCTAAAAGCTTAGGGTTTAGGGCTTAGGGTTTAGGCTTCAGGCCTTAGGCTTTAGGCTTTAGGGTTTAGGGTTTAGGGTTTAGGGTCTAGGGTTTAGGGTTTCAGGCAAGGGCCCGTAAACTCGACACCCAGACCCGAAACCCGAAGCCCTTGAGGGTTCAGGGCCCCAGGCGAAGCAGTTTAAGCTAAGCCCTAAAACCCGAAGCCCTAAACCCTATAAAGCCTATACACCCTACCAACCCTATCAACCCTATCAACCCTATAAACCCTATAAACCCTATAAACCCTATCAACCCTATCAACCCTATAAACCCTATAAACCCTATAAACCCCATAAACCCCATAAACCCCATAAACCCTATAAACCCCATAAACCCCATAAACCCCATAAACCCCATAAACCCTATAAACCCTATAAACCCTATAAACCCTATAAACCCCATAAACCCCATAAACCCTATAAACCCTATAAACCCCATAAACCCCATAAACCCTATAAACCCTATAAACCCCATAAACCCTATAAACCCCAACCTTAGCCCTAAACCACACTGCGCGAGGCCCCCCGCCTTGCTCCAGCTCAGTGACATCCCCTCCATTAACCTTCACGGGAGCGCGCTGAAGCCGAATCCCCCAAAAAGATGTCAAAGTGCTTGGCTAAGGTTTATAGGGTTTATAGTTTATAGGGTTTGTAGGTTTATAGGGTTTATTGGGTTTATAGGGTTTATAGGGTTTATAGCTTTTAGGTTTAGGGCTTAGGGTTTAGGGTTTAGGGTTCAGGGTTCAGGGTTCAGGGCAAGTTGTCTTTGTGTCGTGATGGCGCAGTAGTCCTCGATGACATGTTGCAGGTTCTCTTCTCTCTTCACGTTCTTTGCTGTACTCTAGCTGTTCTCGCAGGCGTTGTCTTGCCTCTCCTGCTTCGTGCTCAGCTAGAGCTAGTGGTAGACCAGCTCCTCTCACTTCTAGTTTGAGAGGTGCCGTCCGCTTCAAGTACCCCGCCAAAAATGCAAAACTCAAAAGCCCGACGCGCTAATTCCTCAAAGCTACAACCAAGACTCCTAAACTCTGAATCTCCTAAACATCTACACCCTCAAGCCCTCAACCCTCGACCCCCCAAGCCCGGAACCCCTAAGCCCTCAACCCCTGTAGAGCCTAAACCCGCAACCTTAAACCCTAAACACCCCGAAACCTTAAACACCACCAGACCCCGGACCCCAAACCCCTAAACCCTAAACCCTAAACCCCAAACCCTGAACCCCAAACCCTAAACCCTAAACCCCAAACCCCAAACCCTAAACCCTAAACCCCATAAACCCCAAACCCTAAACCCTAAACCCCAAAAACCCCAAACCCCAAACCCTAAACCCTAAACCCCAAAAACCCCAAACCCTAAACCCTACACCCCCACAAAACCCCAACCCGAAACCCAAAGCCAACCTCAACGAGCTGGTCGCCGGGGCGGAGTTCCTCACCGGCGCGCGCTGCAGGGGTGTTGGGCAGCACCTGCCCCACGATGCGAGGGTTTAGGGTTTAGGGTTTAGGGTTTAGGGTATAGGGTTTAGGGTTAAGGGTTAAGGGTTTAGGGTTTAGGGTTTAGGGTTTAGGGTTTAGGGTTTAGGGTTTAGGGTTTAGGGTTTAGGGTTTAGGGTTTAGGGTTTAGGGTTTAGGGTTTAGGGTTTATAGAAACTGTATAGGGTTTGTGTCCGGAATTTTGGCGGATTTGGGGGGGGGGGGGGGTTAGGGGGAGCTTAGGGGGGTTTAGGGGGGTTTGTTTTTTGCTTTTGCTGAAATTTGGGGAGGCTTTGTCTTGGGGGTTTGCGCTTCTTTGAGCGTTTTGGGGGGCCTCAAGGGTCGCCGGCAGCATCTTTTGGGTCTTTCTTTCCCCGTTCAGGGACTTTTTTTGGTGCCCTGAAAGCCTGAAAGCCATGCTTGCACTGTGAAGGATGAAGGACTACAAACGCGTGCAATTTCTATGTAACCTAGGGTTTAGGGGGTCAAGGGCCAGGGATGGCAGCGGTGTGGGTCCGGGCTTGAGGTTTCGGGCTTTTCGGGGTTCGAGAATTTAGGGTTTAGGATTTAGGGTTTGGGGTTTGGGGCTTGGGGCTTGGGGTTTGGGGCTTGGGGCTTGGGGTCTGCGGTTTGGGGTTTGGGGTTTGGGGTTTGGGGTCTGGGGTCTGGGGTTTGGGGTTTGGGGTTTGGGGTCTGGGGTTTGGGGTCTGGGGTCTGGGGTCTGGGGTGGGGGGTTGGGGTTCGGGTCTGGGTGTGGGGTTTGGGTTTGGGGTTTGGGGTTGGGGTGTGGGGTTGGGGTTTGGGGTTTTGGGTTTGGCGTTTGGGGTTTGGGGTCTAGTGTTTGGGGTTTGGGGTTTGGGGTTTGGGGTTGGGGTCTGGGGTCTGGGGTCTGGGGTCTGGGGTCTGGGGTCTGGGGTCTGGGATCTGGGGTCTGGGGTCTGGGGTCTGGGGTCTGGGGTCTGGGGTCTGGGGTCTGGGGTCTGGGGTTTGGGGTTTGGGGTTTGGGGTTTGGGGTTTGGGGTTTGAGGTTTGGGGGGATTCTCTGTCAGGGTGCAGGGCTGGGAGTATGAGCTACGGGAATCGACCCTGAATATTTTGCAGAATCTCACCAAGGTCCATAACATAAACTCTCCGAAATACATTCCAGAGCGATAGGCCCCTAGACCCTAAGCCAAACCCCTACTCCAGAGGGCCCTAAGCCCTGACTGCTTGACCCTTGAACAAGCTGGGTGCGCTGCAGTCCACGAAGTCCCTTTAACTTCCTACACCCTGAACCCTAAACCCAGCCTTGAGCCCCCTGAACCCTAAACCCTAACCCTAAACCCCTAAACCCTAAACCCGAAACCCTAAACCCTAAACCCTAAACCCGAAACCCTAAACCCCTAAACCCTAAACCCCCCCTGACTCTCAACTGCTCATCCGGGTAAAGGCCTCTGTCAGCTGCGGTGGAAGCTCCCACCGGATCCTGGCGCGAGGGGGGGCTTTGAGGGCTTAGGGTTTAGGGTTTAGGGTTTAGGGGTTAGGGTTTAGGGTTTAGGGTTTAGGGTTTAGGGTTTAGGGTTTAGGGTTTAGGGTTTAGGGGTCAGGGTTTAGGGTTTAGGGAGTGTTTAGGGTTTAGGGTTTAGGGTTTCGGGTTTAGGGTTTAGGGTTTAGGGTTAGGATGCCTGAGGCCAAGAGGTGGCGCGTCGTCGTGGTCGAAGAACACCTGCGCTACCGCTTTAGGGGGCGCGGCGGGTATCGGATTTTGGGGATTGTAAGGTTTTGTGCTGCACTTGGGGTTTGCAGGGCTTCTTCGGGTTTAGGGTTTAGGGTTTGGGGTTTAGGGTTTAGGGTTTGGGGTTTGGGGTTTGGGGTTTGGGGTTTGGGGTCTGGGGCTTAGGCTTCGTGGGGCTACGGGAAAATCTAGGGCTGCTTGGTTAATTTGGCCCTCGGCCGGTCTGGGAGTTTATACGCCGGGTCCAGGCGGGCCCCTAAATCCTAAACCCTAAACCCTACACCCTCAACCCTCAACCCTAAACCCTAAACCCTAAACCCTCAACCCTCAAACCCTAAACCCTAAACCCCCCAAAAAAAACCCTCCACGGCGAGCCCTCCAGAACCGCCTGAGCCGAAACGGACGGAGGCTGCGAAGAACTACCGAGAGTCGAAGTCTTCAGACTACGAGCTTTAGGGCTTTAGAGCTTTGCGGGTTTTTTTGGGTGTGCGTTTTTGGGGCGTTAGTGCTCCAGGTTTATGTTTTAGGGCTTAGGGTTTCGGATTTAGGGTTTAGAGATTGGGGTTTGCGGTTTGGGGTTTGGGGTTTGGGGTTTGGTGTTTAGTGCTTCGGGGGCTCTGGGGTGCTCAGGGCTCGGGATTTGCGAAGGCCCTTTGCAAGCCACCCACCTCGAAGTAGTCGTATTTGTCTTCCTCCTGGGGCGAGTTTAGGGTTTAGGGTTTAGGGTTTTGGGTTTAGGGTTTAGGGTTTAGGGTTTAGGGTTTAGGGTTTAGGGTTTAGGGTTTAGGGTTTAGGGTTTAGGGTTTAGGGTTTAGGGTTTAGGGTTTTCGAAACGGTTTCGGGTTTCGGGTTTAGGGTTTCCGGGTTTGGGGTCTAGGGTTTAGAGTTTAGGGGCTTGTGATCTCCCGAAAGGTCTTGAGGTTAAGTGCTTGGGGTCCTAAACCCTAAGCCCTAAACCATAACCCAGTTGTGGTCCCCTTTTGGGTACCCTATATGTAGGGCTGTGTACTAGGATCCCCAAAAAAGGCATCAGGGTCAGCCTCCCTTGTCAGGATGCAACTCTAAAGAGAACCCCTCGGAGGTACGAGGGTTGCTAGCACCCAAAATTAGAGGCCCTAAAGGCCCTAAAGGCCCTAAAGGCCCTAATGGCCCTAAAGGCCCTAAAGGCCCTAAAGGCCCTAAAGGCCCTAAAGGCCCGAAACCCGAAACCCTAAACCCTAAACCCTAAACCCGAATAAATGCCTAAACCCTGAACCCTAAAGCAACCTAAAGCAACCCGCCACCGCCGACATGAGAAGAGGGCTCCTTGTTCTCCTTGTCCAGCTGCACCTTCGTCTCATTTGCGGGTTAGGATTTAGGGTTTAGGGTTTAGGGTTTGGGGTTTAGGTAATAGGGTTTAGGGTTTCGGGTTTCGATTTTAGGGTGTTTCGGGGCGCTTGGGGGTTTAGGGTTGGGAGGTTCCGCCTTATACAAATAGTGCTTAATAGGGTTTGCAGGAACATCCCAAGTTGAGGGGTTCAAGGGTGTTTGGGGTTTAGGCTTGCTCTCCAAAACCCGATGGGCAGAGCCCGAACCCCCACCCCCCCCCCCGAACCCTAGCTTTGGCACCCAACACACAACCAAAACACCCAGAGGGTCCAAAGAGGGTATCCCCCACCCTAAACCCTAAACCCTAAACCCTAAACCCTAAACCCTAAACCCTAAACCCTAAACCCTAAACCCTAAACCCTAAACCCTAAACCCTAAACCCTAAACCTGAGGCTTCCTGTCAGTAGTAGGGGGAGCTTTTGGGGCGGGAGGCATATCCCAAGCAGCCGTTTCTCATGCCAAAGGATGCACCAGGGTGCGTGGCTCTATTTTGCGACAACACCTTCATCGGGTCTCGGGGCTCAAGGGCTTAGACGATTCGAGTGTTAGAGTTTTAGGGTTTTCGGGCTCAAACGTCGCCGCCAAGCCTGTAGACCCTCAAGCCCTAAGCCCTAAGCCCTAAACCCTTAACCCTAAGCCCTAGACCCTAAACCCTAAACCCTTAACCCTCAGCCCTAAACCCTAAGCCCTAAACCCTTAACCCTAAGCCCTAGACCCTAAACCCTAAACCCTTGACCCTAAGCCCTAAACCCTAAACCCTAAACCCTAACCCTTCACCCTTCACCCTAAACCCTCAACTCTTCAAGCGGCTAGGATCGATGCCTCGATCCGCATCCTAAAGAGCCCCTGGGCTCTGAATCCCACATTTCCCGAATCTGATGCGTGGTGCTTCGGGTTTAGGGCTTAGGGCTTGGGGTTTAGGGTTTAGGGCTAAGGGCTTAGGGCTTAGGGCTTAGGGCTTAAGGCTTAAGGCTTCGGCTGGTTTGGGGGGTTTAGGGCTTGGTCCTGAATCGCAGGTGGGGCGCTGTGTGGAAGAGAACGGCGCAGTGGCGCAGGACGTCGCGGAGGAAGGCCTCGGATTCGTCTCGGGAATCACAACCTTTCCATGGGCACCCGAAGAGCTTTTGGTTTAGGGTTTAGGGTTTAGGGTTTAGGGTTTAGGGTTTAGGGTATAGGGTTTAGGGTTTAGGGTTTAGGGTTTAGGGTTTAGGGTTTAGGGTTTAGGGTTTAGGGTTTAAGGTTTAGGGTTTAGGGTTTGGGGAGTTAGGGTAGGGCATCCCCCTTTTCCCATGCTTCGCCCCAACGCCTCACACGAAAAATCCCTGATACCCACCCTACACTTTACAACTTTACCACCGAAAAACCCCGATTTTGACATCCCCACCTCAAACGATTTAACCAACAATAAACCGAAAATTCCCAAGATCTGAAACCCAAATCAACTTTCCGAACTGCCCCCTAACTCCTAAACCCGAAATTCACGATTTTTTAACTTGAAAATTCTGCTCAATGTTCTTTGTCGTTGAATAGAATTTTCACTGGTAATATTTATAATTAACCTCATACAATTTGATTATTTCCTTCTGTAATGAAATCTGTGTATCTAAATATTTCATTTCTTTATCTAAATGTTCCTGTTCTTCCTTTTCTATTACGCATGTTTGCTTTATTTCTACAATTTTGCTTTCCCTGCTTTCTTTGATGATTTCTAATTTTTCTAGTTCGTGTTTGGCTACTCTGTATTGTATCTCAAACAGTTCGTCATAAACGGTCATATATTATAAACTATATATTTTTCAAAACTTTTAAAACTTTTTTTACACATAGACGTCGCCCTCCTTCTTGATTTCGTAGTATTCCATCGTCGTTGGTTTTGGGTTTGTAATATCTCCGTTGTTTAGTTTTGTCAAATAGGCTTTTCTTTTGTTTTGATATGTTGTGTCTTTTGATTTTGTTGTTGTGGTGCTTGGAACTGGTGTAAATAGTTTGTTGTGTATCTCTTCTATTTTCTTATCCATATTTTCTAATGTGTTGTTGATGTCGTTAAGTGTGTCCTCGAAAGCTTCGGCCATATAAAATACTAAATATTATTTTTAAAACTTTTATTCTTAAAATTGTTCTTTATCACTTGCCGCGCAGTTGCACTTCTTACAGTATGCTATGCAGTTGCTTATGGTATGTGTTTGCTCATTATCTTTTCGTTGGGCTGTTAGATTTGTTGTTATGTTTCCGCTTTTTAACTTGACGTAAAATTCTACACTACATTTTTCACAAAAGCCGTTTAACCTATCCAAAAGCCACTGGGCAGTTATGTAGTTCTTGTGGTCTATCTTTCTTTTACCTGCCCTGTCCTGTTCTTTGTAGTTCTGCACCTTGCGCTCTAAATAGTTAAAGATACACTGCTTATTGAATACAGTATCTTTATTATCATCATACCTGTAAAACCTGACCTGATTTAAATCGGTGGCTCTCGTGATTGCCGTCCAGAGCCACTCCTTAGAAACATTAAAATGATGATAATCAAAGATGGTTATACCAGTGTTTATGCTCGAACCCTGCACACTATGGCAGGTATAACAATAACTAAATATAAAGTGCTTCCTTAAAACATCGATGGGTATGGTTTGTATATTTCCTTCGTGCTCCTCTTTTAGTTTCACCTTATCGCCGTTGATCTCAGAAATAATGTATCGAAAATTAACTTGACATTTATATGTGGTTGTTTTTAAATACTCCCTGCATATAACCACCTCGCCTATATCATATTCGTTTTTGCGGTTTTGGCGCCTCCTTATTTCGTTGCTTACCTCCTTGCACGTATCGTTTAAGTATGCTATGTTGTTATTGTTTGTTTGTATGTCGTCGGTGTATTCGAAGTATTTTTCTATCAACTGTTTCGTCTTAACTTTGTTTATGAATATGTCGTCGTATATGTTTGCTAATTTATCTTTGTCCTCCTGAGTCTTTAACCGCTTACACTCCCGCAGATAGATATGATATTTAAATATTTTGTTTATGCAGTGGTTTGCATATACTTCGTGATCGTGTAGGTTAGTTATTTCCGAAACGGGTTTTAATTGCTTACCGTCGCCGGTTGCCACCACCATTAAATCCTTATGCGCTTCCACGAACTCCCCAATTTTATTTAAAGCCCTCAGGCCATTAAAATAAATCTCGTCGAACACTATACAGTCATAATTCGAGTAGTCAAACTTTTCTAATTTTTCGTCGCCCACGGCTATGGAAAAGAATTTATTAATAGTCGTGGCGTCCTTTCCATATTTTTGAACCAGTTTATTAGTGGGGCACACGAACAGCACTTTTAAACCTAAGTCCCTGATTTTTTCACATATAAAGCTTTTACCAGAACCGGCATATTTCGCCCTAATCATCACGTGCTTTACTGAAAATATCTTCTCTATGATCTTCGTTGTGTCGTATTCGTCCTGTATGTCTATCTTTTTGTTTATATACATTGGTATTTTAGTTGCTTCGTTTTCTTTTATGTGGTAGTCCTCCTTGGGCATTATTATATCCTCGTTGCTTTTATTAACCCTCCACTGACCTATGCACTTTGTAGATGCCCCCGCTTTAATTCCCAGTGCTTCTTTCGCTTTGGGTAGGTCTTCGGTGTTTATAACAAATGCATCGGTCTTGACACTATACGGTTTAACACCGCATTGAAGTAATCTGTTATAACACTGATACATATTAAAGTTATGTTGTTGCAATAGCAGTTCCTTTATATAAACAAACCCATTTACCAACTTCGTTTTATCGGATATATTCACTATGTAGTATGAATCTCCTTCCGATATTTCATTCCATTCAGTGCATTCGTCATCGTCCATTTCATAAAAGATAACTTCTTCTTCGGTCAGTTTGTGTATTTTGCCCCCGTATTTTTGTTGAAAATCCGACGCCTCCTTTAAGTTTCTAAACAGTATGCTTTTTTGGTTGGTGCTGTTGGTTCTTTCTAAAAGTCCGAAATTCACCACTGCCACCTGTTTTTTAATTGCCATATCCTCCTCGTCGTTTTCACTTATTTTTTTGTCCCATAATTCCCCGACTATGTTTTTATAATTCACAGAGTGCTTGAACGAAGGCTGTTTATAACTTATGATCTTAATTTCTGATGTGTCCAACTGTTTTAGATACAAACCGTATAAAAGACCAAACTTTTTGTTTAACATTACTTTGTTTTTCTCGCCCGTGTTCTTAACATAATACAGTGTATAATCGTGCATTTTGTTAAAATCCATTTGTTCGGTATATGGTTGCCACACATCGAACTGATTAAAGCCGAATGTCTCCACAATATCTATAAACGATTTAGTAAATGCTTTGGACATATCCAGTTCCACTTTCGGCATCGTATCCGAAAACTTATGTGATACAAACATACCCACAGGCACTATGGTTTTAGCCTCTTCGTATAAATCTATGTCAGCTTGGTTATAAAACGATTTATGAAGCGGATTAAATAAAGACTTATTAAAATCAAACATTGCTTTATTCATATTGTTATAGGTTTCTTCGTTGTCTATTCTCATACATCCGTCCGACGAGGTTTTTATTAGATTCTGGGTTTTGACTATAAAGGTGGTTTTCTTTGATTTCATTCGTATCTCTGACACTATGCCCGCTTGAAAACGAATTTTAGGTTCATACCCACCGCCCAGCATTTGAAATAATATTTTTGTTAGGTTGTTGTCCTCAGGCACTAAGTATTTCGTTATAGGTTCTTTATCCTTACTGACCAGTTTTAATATTTCGTAAGCGTCCCTAATCATTATAAATTGTGGCGGTTCTTCCTTTTCGTTTATGTGATAATCGGTTGTTGCTTTGACTACGGGTTTTTTGCCTACATTGTTCAGTTTCTGTTGTATGCTTTTTAGATCGTTGTTCATTGTGTATATGTGGCTGTTTTTCACAAAGGCATAAAAACATTTGAGTTTTTTGTTTGCCTCTTCGGGTTCGTGCCGGTATATAAGGTTTTCACAGCAGTCAAAAATTCGGGCGGGAATCCTGTAAGGTTTAAAGACTTTATCCATTTCATTAATGGTTGCCCCATTGCTGTAAAAATCGTTCCTACCTATGATTTCTATAATCCTTTCCCTTGTTAGTCTGTCCCTTCTTTTATCGTTCATAAGGCTGTCTTTATAAAAATCGCTTAAAGCATTAATCCAACATTGATTATCGACGTGTTCGTTGTTGCTTATGGCTTCCCTTAGGTTGTATAAGTTATGATTAACAGGGGTGCTGACATAGCGATGGTATATAGATATGTGGCTAATGTCGGTTAAACTCTCGTCCATAATGTTAAACTTCTCGCCTTTCTTATTGACTACCTCCACCTGTTGTATCTTAATTGCGTCGAATAGGTTGTCATAGTATTTCGTTAAGTCATCCACCATTTCCTTAAAGTCCTTGTCCTTGTTAAGCAGTTCTATTACCTTTTCAAATTCTTCATTAGCGTTTTCCTTTCTTTTGCTTATGAAGTCCTCTTTGGTTTCAAATCGGAAAATCAGATTTTTAACCAGTGTCTTATCAAAGTTTTTTGCTTTGACGGTCGCCTGTCTTATGTCAAAGTTTTCGATGTAAAAGGCCGTTTCGAATTTTTTAAAGGCGGGTTTCACTTTTTCGTTTCGTGGCTTCCTTGTGGTGTAAAGTTGGAAGTTTATTAAGTATGTGCTTTGGCTTTTGGTTTCCGCCAGTCTTTCGTTTAATGGTTTTGCCTTCTTAGTTTTGGGTATGGTGTCCTTGTATTGCTTGAATGCTTTTTCATAGGTTTTTTTGTTCTTAGAGGTTAAACCTTTTATTAAATTCTCGGCGGTTGCTATGTTTCCGATTTTACGCTCCTGATATAACTTGATGATTTCGTTAATTCTTTTTTGTGTGGTTTTGTTTGCTCCTTCTGCCACCTTGTCCTTCAACTGGTTGAGTTGGATGAGATTACTCCTGATAAACTTGCTCATACTATACCTTAGATATATAATTATATTAAATGTTTTTTCTTTAAGTAGTTTTCCAAAGAAAATTTTTTAATATTTTTTCAAACCTTTAACAATTCGAAGCGCATATATGGGCGACTGTTTCCCTTTACATAAAATAAACTGTTGTTATTCTTTTGTTCTATTTTTTCTACTTCGTAAGTGTCTTTGCTCCATAAACTGACCCTTTCTTTTTCACCAGGCTGTCTTTTCCTGTAAATTTTAACTTTACTGCCTGTTGATATATTAGGGTATTTCCTTGTTCTGGTTGCTTGTTGGGTCATATTCTGTGTTGCTTTCAGTTCGTTTTTCTCCTTCATTGCCTCTTTCGGTGTCATTTTAATGGCCGAATGTTCCATTTTATTATTATAGGTAAGCAAAATTTCAAAGATATAGTCATTCCATTGAATATTTCTTTTGCCTTTTCTTTCGTCGGCTTCTACTCGTTTGTAAAGCATATCCTTAAATGTTCTAATTGCTCTTTCGCTGTGGTTTGCGTGTGCTCTTGTCCTGTGGTGTTGTATGCCCTGCTCCTTTAAATAATCCTGTATTGATGTTGTGTTTAATGCGCCTTCGTCGTCTGTAAATAATATTTTGGGTTTGCCTCCCATCTTGTTCATTGTCTCTATCATTCCTGATGCTATGTTTGCTTCGTCTTTACTTTTAATTGGTGCGACCTGCATAAACCGACTAAACACATCAATCATAATCACACCGACTCTAAATTTTTGATTCTCCAAATCGTTTATAAAAAACAAATCCATTTGAAATTCATAAAAAGGTTCAGGGGCAATAAATGTATTTTTACCTCTAATCTGTTTCTTTTGTTCCACATTTTCTTTAAAAAACTATCAATGTCGGCCATTGTTATAGATTTATCTTTTTCTCTTGCATCTTTTAAGGTTTGTTTTTTGCTTCCAAAGCCTGACCTATCAAAATAAATTGTGTTTATTATATCATTCTTTTTATTGTTTTCGCTCATAATAAAAAGGATGATAATATATTTATAAAAATAATATTTCAAAAAGTATGTTAATCATAAACCGGGCTTTTTCATCATCAAACTTTTTAAGAAAATGTTGCAAAAGAATTCATATGACACCGATGTTAAATCTATTTCATCGTCTCCAAATGTTCTGTTTTTCTTTTTTTGTATTGTTTTTATCATTTCTCTTTCTGCTTCTGCTTTTAAACATATGTCTGATGGTTTATGTCCATAACTTAAACAATGTCCGACATATCAAATATAACCCATTGAATGTTTATTTATGTATGCGTTTATACTTTTATCATTTATTTCTGCTTTTATGTTTTGCAACTTCCTATGACAATGATAAATGCCCCAGTGTTCTAAATTATAATATTCTCTAAATAATTTCATCTTAATTTTTTCGTCGCACCCCCTACACCTAATATATTGATTTATATGGCCGTTTAAATCATATGGCAAAGCGGTTTTACATAAAAGGGCGGTTGTTGTTTTTAAGTCCTTACACCTTTCACACACCATATATAATGTTAAGAAAATATTTCTTTAAATAGTTTTTCCAAAGAAATTTCTTTAAAGATTTTTTAAACAAAATATTTTCAACAACACATTTTTTATGAAAAGATGCGATTTAACATTTTTATCATAAACTCAACCTCCTCTTTTTCATTAAGGCATCGTTTAAAGTAATCACTAAAAAACATAATCGCCAACTCTTCTATTTCTATCGTAAATGGTTTTTTATATCTCGTCCTCATAGTTTCATATATATCATTAAATAAACCTGTGAAACCCGGGTCTCTTCTAAAAGATGAAATGTCGTTAATGTCGTCAATGTCGGCAATGTTTAAGTATTTCATCCTTAACATCGCCATTCGTAAATAAAAAAATGTTTCACCATTAATGTGTTTTTTTAAAGACTTGTCCTCCACCACCCGTTTTGCTACTAAAACTTCACAAGGTAAAACTGGTATTTTGTCAAGTATGGTTTTAAACCTTATCGTCTTCTCTCTATCGCTGTATATCAGATACTGACTATAAGAAGCTATGGTTTTGAAAAGGTCATTGCGCAATTTTTTTTACCTAAAAGTTTGATTGTCATAATTTGGTCAAGGCATCTTTCACACCTACACACCTGCACCATATCTAACATATATAAAAAATATTTCTTTAAATAGTTTTCCAAAGAAATGTTTTTATAAAATAATTAATGTCTCGGGACACCCATCCCCAAACATCGGGGATGAGCATCCCCAAACATCGGGGGCACCCATCCCCAAACATCGGGGATGCCTCATATTTCAATTTAAAAATGTCTTATCCCCAAACATCGGGGATGAGCATCCCCAAACATCGGGGGCACCCATCCCCAAACATTGGGGATGAGCATCCCAAAACATAAAAATGACTCAAAAATATTATTAAAAATTATTCAAAATATTATTAAAAATTATTCAAAATTATTCAAAAATATTATTTATTTTAATAAATTTTAATAAATTATATTATTAAAATAAATTTAATCTCCTTTTGACTCTTCTTGTTGTTCTGCTGTTTTCTTTTTACTTGCTTTCTTTGGTTTTGGCTCTTTTGGTGCTTTGGGTTCCTTGGGTTCTTTGATTTGCTTTGTTCGTTTAAATACATCTGTGTCTTTTAAAACATTTGCATTTTCCATTGGTATTACTTGTCTTCCTTTCTTTTCAAATTTTACAGTTAATTCTTCATTTATCTCATCCTCATTTACTGCTATTGATTGTTCTTGTTCTTCTAAAATTTTGTTAAGTTTTTTTCGTCTTAAATGGTTTCGTGTGTTTTCTCTCTTTTTCATCATAAACGTTTCGTCTTCTTTTTTTTTGCGATAATACAGTCT